AAATGAATTGAAAAAATTACTTTTCTTAATGGCCTGTCTCACGACGCTGATTTCGCTGACCAAGTTGGCACTATTAGGAAATGACTAAAATTGTCATGATTGTTTCAATTTAGTGTTCAGTCGATTATCATTACAAGCTATTTTAATGCTCTAAATTAATGCATACTCAGTTCAGATCGTTCTCTAGGAATATATTGGGCAAGAGAAAATTTCTGAGGAGTATTTGTATTTTCAAATGACAAAATCTAGTCTAATTCATCAAAAATAAGCCAGGAAATGACTGACTGATTATGGGCAACTTTATGGAGTTTTTTCGATTTTTCATCAAAAAATCCACTCATTCTGGTGGTTTTTCACAAATAACTCAAAGTCGGTATTTTATCGAAAAAATCTTTTCTTGTAAAAATTATATCTTGGAGAAAACCAACAAAATGGGTGGTTTGCCATGTCAGGCAAAAAAGGCAGAAAAGGAGTAATAGCTTGTTGGTTCTCATCACGAGAAAGTCGTTAACCACCATATCCTCAAATATTTGGAAGGCTTCAACATCTTGAGCGATCATCAATACGGTTTTCGGAAACAAAGACCAACAGGCGACCTTCTATCGTATGTCACCCATACTTGGAATAACGCAATCAAGAAACATGGAGAATCAAAAGCTGTTGCGCTTGATATTTCTAAGGCCTTTGACCGTGTGTGGCATGAGGGTTTGCTGGGCAAATTTTGATGCTATGGTTTGTCAGATCATTTCTGTGCATGGCTCTTCAGCTTCCTGAAAAACGTTTCCTGCAAGTGGCCGTCGATGGATTTCTCTCGAATACCTCCACCATCAACGCTGGTGTTCCCCAGGGATCCATATTGCCTCAAACCCTCTTTTTATTGTATATCAACGACTTAGTGGGAAAAACCAAAAATTCAATATATTGCTTTGCTGACGACAGCACACTTGTCTCGTCATTACATTTGGATTCCAGCACAATGGCTACGGAGGCACATCTACACCGGCAGTAGGAGGTTGCATATTTTGATGAGGATCTAGAAGTGATTTCAAATTGGGGTGGAAGTAACCATGTTCAATTCAATGCCATAAAAACCCAGGCATTGGTTTTCTCCAAGAAGATAAATGTCTACGAACCGGATATAATAATGTCAGGTAAGACAATTCCGCTTTCTGCTTCGATAAGTTTGTTAGGGGTAGAAATGGCACAATCAAGCCGCTTGAATTGCAAAGGCTGCTTCTCAAAAGCTTGGAACACTGTTCCGAACCAGAAAACTATACACCCCTCAGCAACTTTTGATTATTCATAAGGCTCAAATCAGACCTTCTTTGGAGTATTGTTCTCATGTATGGAGCTCTGCTCCCAAATATATCCTGAAGTTGCTGGATTTCATCCAAAAAAGAGCCATCCGCCTGATTGGAGACGTGAACAATTTGCAACGTGCAACACGTGCAACTTCGAGTGCCTGGAACATTGAAGAAAAGTTGTAGATTCGTCTCTCTTCTATAGATACCTTCACGGGATATGTTCAAATGACTTTGCACAGTTGATTCCACCAAGAGCGGTGCATGTCAGAAATACACGATGGACTATGGCTACTTATCGTTTTGTATTTTGTACACCTCGAACTTCACTGTTGGAAAACTCTTTCCGGACTCTTTCCGGAGAACTGCGTTTATGTGGAATAAACTGTCTGAGAACGTTTTTCCAAACAGATTTAATCCCCAGCGATTCAAATTCAATGTGAATATATAACCGTCTTGAAGTGCTAGAAAATCCTGACTGAGTGAGTTATGTGAAACATAATCACCTTCCCAATTGAAAGTAATCGTTATCATTTTACAGTTGATACACTAATGCATTGATTTTTGGTTACTTCACGTTGAGGCTTTTAACTTTGCCGTTTGACGAATGAAAACCACCTATCAGCAAACTGTTACTTTGTTTGTATTGAGTCTACTGACAACGTAAACCAATAATCCTTTTGTTTCCGTACAATCTATATTTTTACTACGAATTATTTCCTAATGAAATTCCTTATTTTTGAAGAGGAGTCTGAAAACAGTTTATTTGTTGAAAAACTGACTCTCACTCGCTATTAAGTCGACAAGTATTGATTCCCATAAAAAACTTCGTGATCCAAAAATTACTCAGAATTAGTCAATATATTCGTTTGCGGTATTATATTTCACATCTAATATTTTTATAGGAATATTTTTCACCACAGGGTGAAACCAATCAATTGATGGATGTAGCCGTTACTACGTGGTAGGAAATCATAATGAGGAAAAGAGAATTGAAACTTTCTGTTTTTTACCACTTTTATTTGTAACTAACGTTATTGCAATTTCGTCCTATAAGGGCATTTTCAAACTTATACATTAAACAGTATAAGTATACATTAACATATATAAGGGCATTTTCAAACTTATACATTCAACTGTATAAGTATACATTAACATGTATGAGTTTGAAAATGTCCTTATAGGACGAAATTGCAGTAACGTTAGTTACAAATAAAAGTGGTAAAAAAAATAGAAAGTTTCAATTATCTTTTTCTCATTGTGGAAACAATACCCTGTACGAGATTAACGTACACTTAATGCGTTTTAACATTTGTTTTAACTATATTTTCATAACCTACATCTTACGATTTGATCTCCACAAACTTTATTTAAAGAAATATATCACGACATGTTTCGCCCCCACAGTAGCTTTACTATGGATTTTCATCAAGTAACGGCCGAATCAATCAGAAAATTGGAGGAAGCTAATTTCTTGCCCTTGTGGTACTTTGAGTTGATTATTCGATGCGCCATAAGTAAACAGAATATCTGGTTTTTCCACATTTCCATTAAGGAAGAAGTATGAATTAATCCACTACGAAAAAGTTACTGGGTTAGCGAGACGTCGTTATATATTTCCTTCAATAAAGTTTGTGGAGATCAAATTGTGTGTAGTTTATGAAATTACTATGGATCTTCACCAAGTAACAACGGCCAAATCAATCAGAAAATTAACTTATATTCACAGTGCGTTGAGATTTCTAAGTGCATGCGCCATCTTCAGAACCACAACTTTGATTTTTATGCCACTTTTTTTTAATTTTGACTAAGTTTTACAATTGATTCACAAACATTTCATTCACGTTTTGAACTGTATATCAAATCGTAGTGGTTATTTTTTGTTAGGCGAGCCGTACTACCTCATAGATTGAAAATGCTGTTGTATGCAACTAACTGTCGTTCCTTGCCAATTCCGCATATCTCTCTGGAAGCGAATTCAATCTAGCCATGTCTTCGTGTTCTCCACTCAATCACGTGCGTGTCTAGATAGCCATAACAAATTTCACAGCGCTGTTGGTTGGCATAATGGCACTACACGTTCAATATGCACACATGTAAATTCATTACTATTCTTGGCTTACCAATTTCGACCATACATTACAAGCTGTCCTATCAATAAATCCCAAACATATCCAGTATGTTGTTGTGGTGGTCACGGAAATTCTATTTATGGCACTATGTGAACTGTGGCACTCATTGAGTGGCAGGAAATTCTATAAATTATGTTCGCTGCAATTCGTTGTTTGGAGTGGTATAAATGGTTTATGTGACTCGAATTTCCATAGTTCTGTGCTGTTGAAAAATTAACATTTGTGAAAGATTGAAGGTGTGTTTGCAAAATCCCAATGTTATTTAAGGTTCATAACTGTATCTATTTTTACTTTGAGTGTAAACAAAAACTCATCATTCCTTTCATTTGTAGTTTCGATTAGATCATTTACTTTTACAAAAGTATTCCATTGAATAATGTTAAAATTCTAACAAGAGGTATTTCATCAAACACAAATAATCAATGCTTTAGCAATCTTGCTCATACATCAGAAACTGTATGTGATCCGCGGAGCAAGTTTGACTCTGATACATGCAAAAAAACATGGATATTGGATACCGAATTTTAGGAAATTTGGGCAGAACCTTTTCAAAGGCATTGAAATCAATCAGTCTCAAGTCAATTGCAATCAACACAATGTCATACTCGACAGACACAAGAGGGACATATCACTGGCTAATAGACAACTGTATCGAGACTATTGTACATTCAGACTGGAAATTTCATGAAACACTGCTTTATGTCTGATCGCAAAAAACAGAATATACTTACAGAGACAAAGGGGTACTGTAGACTGATAGATAAGTGTATGGTTAGAGGAAAAAGTCATACAAGACCATTATGCTAGAAAAGTAGGAAGGAAAAGGCTAACCTCGAGGAAAAAAAAATTGAACTCACTGCTATGGAACCTTGTAATGAGTAACTATGTTTCCTGGAGCACAATGGGTACTGGACTATGCAGATGACTTATGCTATTTCTTTCCAGGTGAATATAAAATAAACTTTAGTGAAGCTTCTCCAATCCAAAAACTGAAATACAGGAAAAGAAAATAGTCTCACCAAAGGCATAAAGCCATCTTCAAAAAACGTGAGATTGTTTTCGCAGAATTCATTATGTCTGTCTTTATATTTCCTTGGCAAAACAAACTTTTCAAGCAAGTTTTCATTGATTTTTCCACAATTTCTTTAATTACTTTTGAAGCGCTTGGTATATACTATCGTAATTTTCTAAGGTATTCCGAATATGAAAATCAATAGATATTATTCCTTTCATAGAACATAACTTTGATCGGCGACGCTGGATAATATTTCAAGGAAGTAAGTATATAAAAGCACTACTATTTTAACATTTTTTGATAACGCCCTCAAAACTTCTGATGGAAACTAGTTAACGGAAAAACATATTTTAATAGATTTTTCAACAGATTTTCAACAGATTCAACTGTATAGTAGGTATCTGTAGTACCTACGTATAAGAGAATAAAGGGATTCAAAAATATCCAGTCAGTAAACAAAGTGACATCACTGCTAATTGATCGATTAACTGAATGTTACGTTATTCATCAATATATTTTTTATGGATATGCCCAAGTAATACAGGCAAAACTTCAAGATCTGAAATTGAATAACATTATAGTATTGAAATTTTGTACTTACAGTCGCTTCAAATGACTGTTCCTGGCAAATGCATGAGGATGGATATCTTCCAATTCATTATCTGACAGAATCCTGAAAGAAAAAAAACATTTGAATTAAGATGTATATCGTTCGAGTTTCATTTAGAGTTCATTATCAGAGAATAATAATCATGTAGTTTGACAATGCCTATCAGCATCCATTTGAAAAATAAACAACATTGGGAGGATAATCTCATGACTCGTCTGAAAATTTGTACAGGGTCACTTTCTGTCTGGGTGAAATTGACTAAATATCAGCTCCAACTGTATAATTATAGCATATGATGGAATATTCGGTCAGTAGCAGGGCGGTTCGACGTGGGTGCTTTGTTCACTCAGTCAATCGGCCGATGTGTGAGTTGATGGTTCAAGTCGCAGGCTGAACGCTAGATTTTCACTTGCTTATCGTCCAACCCGTGTTAGGAATCACACGTTAAAAGGTAAGACCTCATCAGTGTTTAGCTCGCACAAGTTCGACTTCTGAGGGTTTTCGTTCGTAGGGGTGAGATAGCTGGTTAAGGGAATAAAACATTTTAAACATTTTTATCAAAATTTTTTAGGAAATAATCGCATTCCATTATGCAACAAGGAGAAAATCAGCAACAATAGGATGCAAAATAAGAAAAGACGCAATGTACTAGTATGTCAAAATATTTTTTTGAACTTTTGTAAGCGCCATCATTCCATTGTTTACTACAATGAAGCTTTCGAAATTTTACGAAAACCCTTTTTCATTTTAATACATAGTTAAATTCGTAAAAAATGTTATTTAGCACAAGGTGAACTTATACATGAAGTATATAAAAATTAGGTTGATGATGATTTCTCCGAAATGAAACATTGCATTAAAAATCTCAAAACTGTCTTGGTGGCAAGAGAAATTAGTAATGAGAATATTACATTCATTTTGTCATATTTCTTCAAATAGAGTTTGAGAAAAAAATAAAAACCAAATCAGCTGTTTCTTCGGCATATATCTGAAAGTGAGCAGAATTTTCCGAATTCTACAACAGCATGCTAGTAACCCTTAATTCGGGAAACTTTCCGTTAACCCAGCCATTTTTGTATATTCGATGATGAACATTCTCATTATGGACAACGTTTTTGGGAAGATAGGGTTTTCTGTTCTCTTTCAGAAAAACAGGAACGATCAATTGAGTTCGTAAAGACATTTCTTCACAAAGATGTGAAAATCTTGCATAGAAGTTACTTTCACAGATGAACTGAAAAAAAATCCTTCCCACATGAACATTGAATTATACGAAAGAAAAAATATTTTCAATCCTAACTAAGATTCCCATAGTGGGAATAAAGTACAATGGGCATATGCATATCCTTACGTGCTATCACAGTGACATGTCACTCTTCCGTAACATGAAATTGTGATGTATGAAAGATGTATGAATGAATAAATAAATAAATTGTAGGTAATGTTATTCTGAACGTTAATAAGACAAGTTTCTCATTCCGAAACGTCGAACTCCGCCGTTGATAATAATGTTTTATGTTAATAAATTTTTTTATCGTAACTTTCATTCATTTAATTATGTAACGTTCCAATTAGTGATATCTGATTCGATTCCATGAAGATGGTCGGAGAACAATGGAAAGAAGTGTTTTTGTATATTTCAATATTCATATGGAAGTATTTGTTTCGAAAATATTTTTTGTGTGTAATTCAATGTTCATCTGAGAGTGGTTGTTTGGGTAGAGCATTGCTTCCATCCTTCGAAAGTTTGTATAAAAGTATGGAGAAGTGAAAAGCAAAATTCATTTTACCAAAAACTAATCTTTCCTGAAAATATACCCCTCTCAATCTGATTGAGTGTATTTTATAGACGAACTCCCATAACCTGAAAACTAGACAAAGTCATTGTTTTTATAAAGTTATCATACAGTCCTGCCCTAGTGGCTTCGCCGATTCTGCCAAAATATGTACGTGCTCGGAAACAAAAATACAACAACTAGGTTGACTGTGAAATAAATCCCGACAAAATGACCTGAAATCGGAGCTGGATCATCCATTATTGCTCGATGGATGTATGAACTTTTACGTCACTTGATAAAACAAATTGGCCGTAGCAGAACAGGATAAATTTTAGTTTTTAATACTTGACTGGGTCCCAGTCCGAGACAGAGAACTTTGAGGAGATGATTTGTGTAGTGAGGCAAAGGGAATTTCATTCCAATTCGTTTCTGGCCGATAACAAAAAAGGCTCATCCATAAACAGTTGGGGGATTTAGCACAATAAGAAAATAATGTTCGTCCATGTGAAATGAATCAATATTTTTTATACCTGAGAACAAACTGATAGTGAGATTCAATACAGTAGCAGTTATAGTAGAATATTTTTAAGAAATCAAAAAATTTCAACAAATTAATAAAAGTTATGGAGAACAAACTAGAAAATTAGTTTTCGTATGATGTCGGAAGAGTTTTTCATTGATACTGCTTGATTCTCTCTTCAAATGACGTGAACAAAATGACGACTCATGGAATTCTGAACGTGTATTGAAATTTCAACTCTGTTTTGTTTTATTTTCCGTTTTTTTTGATAATTTCATTTCAACGACTGTTATTATTCTCCCCCTTCCTTCTTATGGAGCTAATGCATATACTGCATGTTTGAGGGTTTGTGTAATTTGAACACTCATATCTCATTTTTTGTTTGAGATGGATATTTGATACCATTATACCTTGCTTTGTATTCCTTATCTTTCATAATTGTACGAGACCTAGTTGCTCATTTTCATTTTGTTTTATCATTTCTTCCACTATCGACTATATTTTAATTGCGTTTTTATCACGCTTCCACACACAGATTGACTTAAGATGAAGACACCTCTGTATTTTAGTCATATTGAAAGCAGATATTTGTTTTCTGGTACAGGCGTAGACATTCATGGGCCGCACTTTTCGCAATACTCAACCCGAGTGACAGTCTTAAACCTAGCCCACTGCGTTTCTGCGAAAAGGGCGAATTTTTAGATATTTTGCTTCGCATTGATGATACCGAAGTAAGTTATTTGAAAAAGTTGCTTGGAAATTGATATTGACCTTACATACTGAATTTCAACGCAAATTAAGTTGTAGTTCTTCAACAATCATGAATGTATAAAATATTTTTCAAAATCATTAATAATTATGTATTCATCAATAATTGATGAACGTGTTTTCTACCGGGATTACCGCTCTAATAGCGCGCTCATCGCCCTCTATTTCGAAAACGATTCAGTGCATAAACCATTTTTTGAAACAAAAATTGTAGGGAATTTAATCCTCTTCAATATTGATAACAGATACAAATAGCAAAAAACCCATAGGAAACGAGATATTTTCAAAAATCAATTTTGTGACCTTTGATTTTATTAGTCGCGTACACCTTACCATATGTAGATGACTGGGCTACGTAGATTACCTACAGACGGATAAGCTTCAATGTGATGATTTTATCATCGAACCACTGCATATACGACATCTTCTTCTGGCAGAAAGACTCATCAACTAGTAACACTCGCTCCAAGCGAAAAAAAGTGGATAAAATTCACTTAGTAGCCGTTTTAGCAGGTGAAGTAGTTGTTTTATGACAGGCACTTGCCTGGTCCTACAGTGTGGGAACGTTGAAAGAGATGAATATTTTTATTAATATTTGAAGAATGATTTATTTTTTCTCAATTCTATAATAATTTGATAGAATTCAAGAAATAATTAAAAATTTTAGGTTTGTGATTTATCTAGATCACAATTTATTGTGGAATTCACATATCAGTCAACTCGGAAAGAAAATTGCACCTCTTGTAGGTATATTTCATATAATAAGAAATATTCAGATATTTGAAAACAATTTATTTGTATTTAGTTTATTCGAACCTTCAATACTCAACATGATTTTTTTTCTCACCCTGTCGTTTCCATTCGGTAGCTCCCAATCAACGTCCAGTCCATCGAAAGAGTATGTTTTCAAAAAGTGCTTCGAGCTCTCCACCAGGTTCTTTCTTGATGTTTCGTTAGCAGCAACTTTCGAGAAGATGGAAGCATTCGTATCCCCGATACTCAATAGAACTTTGAGACTTGGGTTGATTTTTTTCAGGGCGACGACTCTTTTGTAAACCCCTGAAATTGAAGAACAGAGTAAATTTTTTGTTACCAGAGGAGGGATATTTTGATTCAAAAAGTAGCATTCCTCATTGGTATTTTATTCAAAATCAGGAACTATATTCCTCTTGAATTTTTGAAAAATATTTATTTCAGTCTTATATACTCATAGCTGCACCATCTTATGTCTATTCAACCCCCGTCGAATGACAGGTACAACCCCCAATTTGTTAAATGGGAAGTACAGGCTAGTGATATATCGTTTGAAAGCTCTTTTCACTCTCTATTCATTCTTTGTCAAGTTCATTGCAAAGATGAAATGAATTAAAATCATGGGGTTACCGAAAATTGATAAAACACACTCAAAACATATTGCAATATACTCAAAACTTATTTCATGTTGAGGTATCGATAATAAGAAAGTAAGCAAAAAAACCATAGCAATATTCTTTTTAGATGATCACCTTTGAAAAACTGTAAATATTTTCCGTAGCAAAGTTAGTTTAAAACGCCTTGTCAACTTGTTTTGTATGTTACAACATTAGTTATCAGTATTTTAATTTGAGTTCAAAGTTCGTTAACTTCAAGCCTGACGAATGGTTAGATTAACGGACATGCATAAAATAACAGTTTCACAAATGATTGGTTACGGAGATAAAACCCGAAAACAATAGGAAGTAGCTCGCCTATTTCATGAGAAATTTTCTAATTTAACGCCCTTATCTCAAGGAACAATAAACAAAATAGTGAAGCAGTTTCGCGAGCTTGGTCATATGAAGCAGATAAAAAAAACAGCTGCCAATGCAATGAGTGATGAACTCAAGATGTGATGCTTGAGTTTGAGGAAAACCCATCTCTATAAAATGATACCTACTCAGCAGGTCATGGAAGACGGTTCTGATAGAAGAATTTGTTTTTGTGATAACACTTGTCATGATAATAATTACACTATTTTCATAAACATTCTAATATACAGTTTTACAAATGATTGGTTACGGAGATAAAACCCGAACACAATAGGAAGTAGCTCGCCTATTTCATGAGAAATTTTCTAATTTAACGCCCATATCTCAAGGAACAATAAGCAAAATAGAGAAGCAGTTTCGCGAGCTTGGTCATGTGAAGCAGATAAAAAAAAACAGCTGCCAATGCAATGAGTGATGAACTCAAGATGTTATGCTTGAGTTTGAGGAAAACCCATCCCTATAAAATGATACCTACTCAGCAGGTCATGGAAGACGGTTTTGATAGAAGAATTTGTTTTTGTGATAACACTTGTCATGATAATAATTACACTATTTTCATAAACATTCTAATATCTAGACCGAGCAAGCTAGGGAAATTATTTTTTTTATTATTATCATGGAGAGTCATATCAATTACTTGTTACCTTGTTGAATATTTCATTGAATTTGTATCTTTAGTTAATTTACTTGATTCCTTTTCATAAACATTCCGTGTTTCTAAGGATAATACAGAGAATATCTCTTTTACGATCATTTATTTGTTTTGATCAGTTATTACGTCATTCAAATAAATATCACTGTACCCAATCGTTCATTAATTAGCCTGTTAATTAAATTGATATTGCGTTTGAATATTTATGAATTCCAACCAAGGAGGTTTGTTATCTTTCAAAAACAAAACGTATTTGTTTTTTACCACAATTCATGAGTTACTCGTCATAAATTAAACACGTTTTTGGTCAAATAGAATTCCCCGTTTTAATGACAGTGATACGGAAAAATTATTGATAATTTGCCAAATTGAATGATATACAAGGTGTGTCAATTTGTTCAACAGAAAACTAGTATTTTTATGGGAGTTTAGAGGTTGACTGAAAACAATACTTACTTTGCTGTATCTTATTAAAATGTTAATATAATGTAATAACTAGTTTGGGGTTATTGAATAACTGATTGATTTCAAGGTATCTTTCAGCAATTCGTCGAAACATCGAAAATTCCATATGAAATATTGTCGAAAGTATAATAAATTTCTATGTTTGAAGGTGATTGACAATCTTTCATGATGAATTTCATTAGTTCGGACTTCCAGTGTCTGATATTATATAAAATGATTTGAAATCCCTGAAAGACCTAATAAAAAAAAGGAAGAAAACCAGTATGATTAAACCAAGACTGAATAACTTTTTTCGAGATCAATTGCCCTAACACCAAACTGATATTTTTGCACTCGACGCGCGTTTCGCCAACAAAGTTAGCATCCTCAGGACTCAGTTAAACCAGGAGAGAGCATCATTCCACCTGTTATGTGGATAGTTTGAGACCGCATATGCTGGACATGCTAACAGCAACTGTATTAGAGTTTGTGTATCAGAATGTGTCTGGAATATCTATACCCATCACGTGACTGCGATAGACCAAAGTGTTGAAGACACCATCCTGGCAGCCATAATGAACCTCTTAGTTTCCGACTTCAACCCACTCGACTTGAGGAAAGCGAATGTCAGACGCTTTGATGAACCGAGGTCTTCAATGTTGTCGATGCATTGGCACATCCTTGTGTTGCCACAGAAGTTAAGTGAGCTCTGTGGCTTTCATATAGGCCTTCTGCTGAACGGGTTCTAACTCGGTGACAGAGTTGTGGTCACCTCGTTCAGTGTCGAAAACTAAACCAGCTACCCGGGCAGCTGACTAAAGAGAAATGTTCCAGTTCCTGTTGTGTCAAGGTAGCGAACCATGCAGAGACGAGAAACCGAACTCCTGATAACTTTACAGGCTCCATTCAGTACTATCCTGTCATTCCAAACTCAAAAGTTCATAACCTTCTTGTTGTCGGAGAAGTACAACCGTGGAACGGATAAACTCCTATGTAGATGCATCCTTTTTATTATTATTATCATTCATCAAGTTGAATAATTATCACATAGAAAATTTGAAAATGATCAGTAGGCTCGTAGAAAAACTATTATTGTCTCTTCAACTATTCGAAATATTTTTTTGTGACTGATTTGGCCGTTGATTGATGATACACTAACAACATTCATAAGGACATTAATTTCACTAACGAACTAGAAGCAGACAATTCAAACTCAATCAATTTCTTGGACTGAACAATTAGTAGAATGAATAATCAACATGCTTTTTCAATTTATCACAAAACTTCCCATACGGATATTACTACCCATCCATATCAATACAAAGTAACATCTTATAATAGCATACTTCACAGACTAGTCAATGTTCCTCTTTAAAAAGATAGTTTCAATAAAGAACTTGATATCATCAAGTAAATTACAGTTCACAACGAATTTAAAGCTGAATCAATAGCCATAAACCAGAAGTGACGTGGCTAAGAGCACGCTAATATACGATGATTCCCCGCCACTCTAGAAGCAGCAAGAATAATGCTGCCGATTTCGGAGGAACTTTGGCGAAATTTCTACAACATTCGATTAAGATAGGCTAGCATAGTTATATTCAAATTGACATAAAGTTAAGTTCAATTATTCAGTGTGGTCAATTATTGGTCAACCCACGGAGAAAAACGTAACATTTGGTGTCGGAAGTGGAATGATTGACTGAAATTTTTCTGTTTCATGGCGAAAACAAGGAGTGTCAATTACTACGGAATGGAAAAGCTTGAGAAAATGTTCGAGGCTTTGCAAGCGAGCCTGACAGAGAATTAAAAACGCAGAAGAGAGGAAGTTGAACGCAGAAGAGAGGAAGAACGATTACGCCGAAACAAAGATCGTGAATTACTACTAGATATTCTAGAAAAACAAGAGGAATATCGTAAATTATTGGTAAATATTCAGAAGAAACAAGAAAAAGACAGTAAGATGTACCTTCATTCATTTGAAGATTTGAAATCTTCCCAAGTGAGTAAAGGAGATATACAGATATTGATTCAGAAAGAATTTGAAAAAGTATTTCAGGAAACAAAGGAGGGGTTGGAACAAATAGTCGATGAGAAGTTTGATGTGGCTGAAAGAAAACTTGAAGAGGAACTTGAAGGAAGGAAATTTGAAAAGAAGCTTGAAGGAGTCGAAAAAAATTTTGAAGAGATTTTCCGGGAACTTCGGAAAGGAAAAAGTCACTGAAACGCAGATACCGTTTCAAGAAGACCGTGCCTGATATCCAGATGCAAATTTTGCTAACGCCAGGAGGTCAAGAATATCCAACTACCAGAAGAATTTCCCACCATACGTGATAAGGTAGCGGGCAGATACTCCTTTATGGACAGCTCTGATAGGGAGATAAGCTCCCTTACCTCCCGCCGCTTCGGGTTCCCTAAGACCCGAAGGGTTGCAAATTGCTCAAAGGGTTCATACGAGTTCATCTTGGTTTAAATTGCGGTGATATTCGGTGCTTTTTCTGACGAATAATTTTGGTGGATATGTTGGTGAGTGTGACATATTCCATTACCTTGTGTAATGTCCACGTATTTGCTTTGATACGTCAGGTTTCCTGTTTCTTCTATCCTCACAAAAGCGTAGTTTAAGTGGGTGCACAACTTGGGATCGATTTTTTCTGGCGGAGCCAGAGTGGCATAGTTGGAGTTCATGTAGTAGCATACCACGTTTCCTAAAACATAAACAAAAATCATCAGGAGCAGAATATCAAATGTTTTGGTTGGTTTCCGGGTGTTGCCGTGGTCTTCTTTGGTTACAATCTCCAAACGTCTCAACTGATTGTAACCAAAGAAGACCACTGGAAACCAACTAGAATATTGACGCCAGCCCACATTCCTATAAAATATCAAATGTTAACCCAAAAGTAGAAAGCGGTAGAAGAAAGTGAAAATGAAAATCAAATATACAAATATAACAAAAATGAATCAGTGGAAGGGATGTAGTTTGAAACTACAATACATTTTACAAGTGGAAGGAAGACTTGCAAAATAACATTTACATCAAAAGTCAATAGTCTAAGTCTTTTGCGAAGACTGATAGAAAAAAATGGTTCCTCATATGATGAAATGATTAGGGCTTTCGAGGCCAAAATTTTCAGTGCTACGATCTTCGTTCAGGTTGAAAACCGTCGTGGTTTGGAACTGTATCCTAACGTTTCACGAGCACGAGTGGCTGGCTTCTTCAGAGGTTTATTCATCTTGATGATTCACCGATGACTGGTGATTTCTGGTTCGTAAGCTGTGTTTATGTTGACACAAATAGCCCGCCTTTCTAGTTGGTGCGTTGTTATTGGCCAAAGTTTTATTACTTGTTACATGTTAAGGTGGCACTGCTGCCACCTTAGCATCTTTTAGTATGGGATTCCAAATCCGGTTAAGCAGTTTCGCCTCCTTTTTTCTGTTGTAGTTTTCTGTATGTTTATGAAGTTTCTATGGCTTCCCGTACAAGCCGACCGTGGTGTCCATGATCGGGTGTAAGTAGTTTCACATCTTCAAACAGTATCGTATGATCTTATTCACTAAAGGCGTGTTCCGCTACTGCCAATTTTCTACAGTTCTACAGTTTCTACAAATCTACAGTTTCTCCGATGTTCATTCAGCATTGTACCCATGAATCTTTTGGTGGTACAGATATTAACTTCCGCAGGTGCATGGTATACGGTATACCCCCGCAGATCGGGTCCTCACGGAAGATGAAATGGCAGTGCTAGCAAGAGGTGGTAACTTCTCGGTCATTCCGCGGCGGGTAGCTAATGAAGAAATTATAGCTAATACGGAAGCTGCCATCAGAGCTCTACCGGATGATGAAGCAGAGGACATTTGGATTGAGACAGCAAATATTCTACGCAAGGCTTGAACACCAAAATGCAATATACCAAAAAAAGAAACTGTGGCCTCAAAAAACCTGAACTCAGATGAGGAGATCATCATTCTACCAGCTGACAAGGGAAATGCCATAGTGCTTTTGAAAACTGAAGAATACGTCGGGAAAATTGAAGAGCTTGTTGACCCGATCAGCCACCGCAAGCTAAAAAGAGACCCAACACAATCGAGGTTGCGGTATACGAACCGTCTAATAAAATCGTCATCATTGTCGGAAACCACTCAGAAGACCATCTTGAGAACAGAAGCCGTCCCGCCAAGGGTCTATGGCCTTCCGAAGATACACAAAAAAGAACAACCTCGTACGTCAAGGACTCCACAGACTTTGTGGGAAAAATTAAGAGTATAACCTTGGAGCCAAGTGATATTCTGGTCAGTTTCGACGTTGTGTCCTTTTTCACCAATGTCCCGCTGGAAGATTTTTTGAGAGAGATAGCCAACCTGTTTCCTAGTGATATTGTCGGAACCTTCAAGGTCTGCCTCACGGGAAGTTACTTCCAATGGAGAGGAGATTTCTATAAGCAATTAGACGGCGTAGCGATGGGAAGTCCACTCACCCAGTGATAGCCAACTTCTTCAACCATTTGGCTACGATACGTGGATGACACTTTCGTTATCTGGAGACATGGGAGGGATAGACTGAACCCATTTTTAGACCACATAAATGCTCAACACCCTAGTATCAAATTCACCAGGGAGACTGAACAGGGAACAACGAATAGCTTTTCTAGATGTAATCGTCGAAAGGCGTGGCACATAAAGTGTAACGAAAACCGACACACACGGACAGACATCTGCATGCACTTTCGAATCATCATCCAAGTCAAAAGCGAGGAATTATCAACACCCTGACGGTAGAGTATGTGAACCGGAACACCTACAAGAAAAAATGGAACATCTTCAAGTGGCTTTGAGATCGAATGGATACAGTGTAACCGAGATCAACAAGGCCATGAAACTGAAGACTTCTGCAAGTCAAAATAGGGAGAAAACTCAAACGGTTGCACATGCGTTTCTACCGTACATCCCTAGGGTTACAGATAGAATCGGAAAAATCCTAAGGAAGCATAACATAAAAACAGTGTTCAAGCCCACCAGGAAAATACAGCAAAGCCTGAGATCTGCGAAAGACAAAAGAGATCCACTATCAGCGGCGGGGGTATACCTTATACCATGCACCTGCGGAAAAGTTTATATCGGTACCAACAGAAGATCCATGGCTACAAGGCTGAATGAACATCGGCAGTAGCGTTTAGTGAAGGAGATCATACGATACTGTTTGAAGATGTGAAACTACTTGCATCTGATCATGGATAGCACAGTCGGCTTGTACGGGAAGCCATATAAATTCATAAACATACAGAAAACTACAACAGGAAAGAGGAAGCGATACCGCTTAACAGGATTTTTAATCCCATACTAAAAGATGCTGATGTGGCAGCAGTGCAACGTAAGAAGTAAGCTCGTAACACTGAGGGTTTCTCATATATTCGAAAGTGGTTTTATATGGAGTGAAAAAAAAGTTTTGTCGAAACATTTGATTGAGCAGAGAAGAAATCTTTGGGATTCATTAATCACACACCAACTTGGGTGAAATGTCTTGGGTGGAGTTGGTTTGACAAAAATACTTAAAAAAGGATCGATTGCAGTGCAATACAACAGCAATGTTTCTTCCTCAAGGCACAATGCAGGAATAATAAAGGATATTAGTAGAACTTGATAACCTTCATGAGTAACAAAAGTTACAAAAAAGTTAACACACCCTATCAACACTTTTTAAAATATTAGGTTGGTTCAAAAGTTTTGTCCGTTTCATTGCCATGAGTTTTTGTAGCTCAATATCTCAAATAATATGTATTCTACTGTACCGTGATATATACTGCTCGCTAGAGAATTTTGTACTCTATACATTGATGTTGTTCATTTTTTCTCGAATTTTAAAATTCTCGCCTCTTTTCAGCTCATTTTTATATGATTTCGTTGAGCAATTATTGGTCAATTTTTCTCTACGGATTCAAATTGAAACAGAGCGCTGCCGAAACAGCCCGAAAAATCAATCGGCAATGACAGTGTTAATGAACTCAATGTTGGAAGCTGGTTAACGACATTTCGTTCTGAATATTTCAGCATAGAAGATGAGCCTCAAAGTGATCAACCTATCCAGGACGAGGATTTAAGGGCCCTGGTGGAGACTGACCCATCACAAACGGTGCGTGAAATGTCGGAAGAATTGGGGGTCAGCTCCCATGCAGCTTTTGATGGTTTGAAACGTATTGGATAGTTCAGGAAGCTCAAAAAGTGGGAGTCCCGCGATTTAATCGATTGTCAGAAATTGTCACGTTTCGAGGTGCAATCAAAACGATCCTTTTTCTAGACTGGACTCGCCAACCAACTACCCTCTTCTCAGGTATTTGGATAACTTTCTAACCGATAGACCTTCACCAATAAGGACCAGGCAAAAACGTCTTTCGTCGACTTAATCGACTTATGTTACGTCGGCAAGAGTGCACGTATTCACTGTGATATTACAGTTTAAACTAGACTCGTAGAAACGGACAAAACTTTTGAAACAATCTAGTATATGTACTTATCTTACTAACGATGAATAATGAAATCGAAGTAGAAATAATACCGTGCAAAGGTACAAATACCAAAGAAAAATCGGAAAGAAATGGAGAGAAAATGTTGGATAAAATAAGGAATAAGAATGAAGTGAATTCAAATAGAGATGAAATAATAAGAAGTTGGACATGAAAAACTCAAGAAAGAAGGAGTTGCACACACTTAGAAAGGAAGTAGGTAGACTAAATATCGAAAGCAATGAAAAAAAAAGTATAGATGAGCTGATGGTGGAAAGAGATGGAAATTAAAAACCTGAAGAAGCATCAAGCGAAAAAGGGCATGAAACGAGTTCCAGAAAGTTATTATGATTTGAGAAACAGCAGAATAATAACAGTATGCAATAAATAAGTATAAAATAATTATGGAACAAAACAAAACAGTTTTTTCAGTGCATGAGCAGAACATCACAATGAGCGAGATGGTGAAAGAAATATGAAATATATGAATGAGTATGGATCAAACAGAATGAAATAATTTCAAATCTGGAAAAGGAAAAGTATAAGAATATTTCGAAATGAACTAACTGAAAGTGTGGACATTTCTGGAAGCGAGAAGGAAAACCAAGACAGTAGCAATGGAAGGATGGAATATGACTAGAAAGTAAAACAGAACACGAAACAGGAAGAAGTTATTAATGCAATGAATAAGAATGTCATATTTAGTAAATCTGGGACCGTTGCTTTTCAATATCTTCGTTAATGATATTGCAGATGTTATAGATGTATATTTCCTTTTGTATGCCGATGATCGAAAACTATACTGCCTCGTTGAGAACATAGATGATTGTGTGAACCTCTCAGCAAACGTAGGACGGGTTGTAGACTGGTGTTATCGAAATAACTTGTCGCTAAGCCCGGATAAATGTAAGGTCATGGTACTACAGTTTAAAAACGAACATCTTGGTCTTTGATTATTCAATGGAAAACATTTCTCTTGTGGGACTAGAAACATTTACTGATCTTGGCGGCACATTTGACACTGCACTATCATTTAATAGGCATATCGATAATTTTTTAACCTACTATTATCGTTTGTACGGATTAATTGCACGTAACAGTAGTGATTTCAAAGAAACTTCCACCTTAAAAACTATGCTTTCATAAGATCAAAATTAGAATACTCATCAGTTGTGTGGAGCCCCTTTTATCAATATCATATTGACCGAATATAAGCAATTTAACGACGATTTTTGAAACTGCTAAGCCTAAAAACTGATTGCATTTATCCTCCAATAGGAACAACCCACTCTGAATTGCTACAAAAGCATAACTTTTTCAGTCTTAATGAAAGGAGTGAACATTATAGTGTTGAACCTACCTATAAAATTATTAAAAGCATAGTTGACTACCCAACATTATTGAAAAAGTTTAATATTTGCATTCCTAAAATCTGTTCTAGACACTCGAGTACTTTCTATGGAAAAATATCCTGCAAAAATGTTCTGGAGAATTCTCCGATCCATACCATGTGTAAAATAATTGTTTTGTTACCTATTATAAATATAAAATGTGTAATCTTTATAGTCACTTGTTTGTGATGTATTTATTACACTCTGTTATTTCCTGCTCTGTAATTGGGTTACGTCCTGTAGAGTATTGTAAAACAAATAAATAAATATATAAATAAGTAGAGACAAAATCGTGAAAAACACAGAGAAATTAATCCACTCAGTAATCCAAAACAGTGCGCGGCGAATAAATAAAAATTAAATCTTCTGTGAAAGTGACGTAACATGTTGATACTGTGCAGTGTTTAACCACTATTTTTGAAAAGAATTTATTATTTCCTCAGAAATTTCGGAAACACCAATGAAATAAATTCAGTCTCGTTTGTGAAATGAAATCTCAACATTTTGTGTTTTTAGCCTCTTTGAATACTCCAAAAATCATAGGAAATAATTAGAAACTATTTTTAACAATGTTGCAACTTACTTGCAGAGACATCCTGTATAAAATGCGCGGAACCAAAACCAGCAAAACAAACCCACAACAAAACAAATAAAAACATTTTGATACTTTCCCTGCGGTCGCAGAATGCTAATGTCCGTAAAAAGTTGGCGGATCGCTATTTTGTAGCGGTCTGTCGCGCACGATTTGGGGGTTTTGTACCGAGGGGAAGTCCTCCCGGAGTTGCACAGAGTAGTACCGATTCCAAGATAGACTGGAATGAACTTTCGAAACAAACGATTCAAATGACAACAGTAGATATCTGGGTCATTCTTGTTTCAAGTTCGATCGTTTCTTTATCGAATAAGTGCGTTATCTCAGTAAAGTGTATAAAGCGGAGTTCTGGCCGTGGGAATGTTGTTATTACTCGCGTTTTGATTTTGATGGTCTAAAACAGGGGTCAGCCAGTAGTTTTAGGTGGGGTCCTGAAACTGTGGGAAAAATTTGACGAGGTCCAGAAAATACAACTGATAAAAAATGTGTGCTACCTCCGCATCATTTTAGTTTCAAATCAAATTCTGAATTATAAAACAAGGCCTAAAATTAGTGTGAGAAATTACACCGACGGTCTTGAGCCAGTTTTTTATAGTTTGGTTCTCGAGAGGAACAGCAAATTAAAAGTGTCTCTTCTAGGTGGGTGTTCGTTATTTGTTTTTCAAAAAATTCATCTTTGAGAAATATGTTTCACATACGTATGTCGAGCCAAACATAGTGGCCAAACATTAGATTAGATTAATATAGGGCTTCTGTGCTTACAGCCACTACACTGCCCTTATGTAGGTATGCTAGAGTTCCTTGTCTAGGCCCGACCTTGTAACTAGACTCCACAGGCCAAACCTCAAGTACCCCATATATTGAGAGGGTTGTGATTTTTCCTCCCATAATGTTGCAAACCTTATCCTTGCCAGACCTTCGCAATAGCATAGTATGTGTACGGAGGTTTCCTCATCCTCTTGGCAAAGCCTGCATAGGGCTGTCTGCCAGTCCGATGTTGTTCATGTGTTTGTTGAGTCTACAGTGTCCCGTCAATAGCCCGACCAGAACTCTAGTTGATCGCCTATTCAGACTTAGTAGGTACTTTGGCGATGGCTCTTTAATGACCTCTTTGGCCTGTCTCATACCCGGCGCCTTAGTCCACCATTTTTGAGATTGTTTTTCCTTCCAGTTGCTGTGGCCCAACATAGTTGCAATTTTCATATTTTTGTGGGACATGTTTGGCCCAAAATTTTTCAGTGGATACCGTGTTATACATTTGCAAAGACACATCTTCTTGCAAATCAATGATCTCTATTTGAAGTGATGCCTTTGAGTGATCAAACAACTTGCAGCCACATCTGTCCATTCTGCTGCTACATCAACTTCAAATGGCGATTTAAGAAACGAATAGCTTGCCCATCTCTGCAGTCTTGGAATCTTGTAGCAAATTCATTCCTAAGATTGGCCAGAAATTTTAGAAACACTGCAATGCCTCCTTCAGAGTTCTTTTTATATTCAAGAATTGTCGGAAATTGAATAGATTTTTGTCTCGCAATATATTTTTCAAAGATATCCAGCTTACGGCGAAAACCACACACGCTTTGTATCAGATCACATGTTAATTTTCCATTTTCTTGTAATCTGTGTTGAGCGCATTTGAATATTTCAAAATAACTTTTAGAAGAGCCACGACCAGAAAAAACCTGTGATCAAAATTATCAATTGTCTTCGAATTATCGCACGAGGCAAACAAACAATGGAAAGAATCTTCATTTTCGAGTGTATTCGTTTGTTTATTATCCATGATTGATAGGTATTCGAGATGTGTATCAGATATTGGTCATCATCTCGGAATTGGAAAAACCGTAACATAATAGACAAAAATATAATCAATCAAGTTTTAAGATGATAAAATCATCGAAATGCGCAATACAATCCCAGCAAACAATGTTATCAGCCAATTATGACCATGTAGGATGATGCTTAACGACATATTTCACAATTTCTTTATGATAATGTAAAAAAAATTAAACGTGTGGAACTGAATGAAAAGTGGAATGAATACGTAATATAGAACGAATTCAATTAAACACTATTCTCAACGTAACATTGAAATATCAATGTTATTTACCAGTATTGTTTCTAATTTGAGTAGAAAATATTCTCCATATACCACTCAATCGTACTTGTCGAAGAAGGACAAACAGATTCATGACCGAGGGGATATTGGCGGTATGAAGTCCTCAAACACCAGTACCGCCCTTCACGGGGGTACCCCTAACTGGCTGGGGTGGGATGGATGAAAAATATATTCGTCCTTTAACGAGGGACATAGGAACCTCATTCGACAGAGTGTCGGGTCCTTCTATATCGGGAGGGGTCGTCTACAGCATAATCTATAGCTTCCCTAACTAACGGATTTTTGTGAGTTTCCGCACCTTCAAAAACTCGCCGATTCCTCGACTGAATGGAAGGCAGCTTCAAATCTCTGCGGATGGCTTCATTCCGCACGAACCAAGAAGCATTCACAATCATCCTCATTAGCTTATTCTGCAATGTCTCTAGAGAGATATTATACTTCGCCACTTGTCCCCAGACGCCTGAAGCATACATGATGACAGGCTGGAACATCGTATTCTAGATGGTGATTTTATTCTTTAAGCTCATTTGAGATTTTCTGTTGATCAGAGGGTACAGCCTAGCTATCCGACCCTCGATCTTTGATTTGACGCACATAAATCTATAGTCTATTAGAAGGCTGAGGTACTTTAGCCGCGCCTGCCAGTCAATCTCCCTTACAGAGATTCTCACTTTTCTGGCCGCATCTTCCAATCAAGGTACCAGCGCTCGAGGTCGTCCAATGCACGTTGTATGTAGAAGAAGCCGAGCTTCCGACCCATGGAAGATGAGAGAAGGGCGTACAGGGATATCTTCACACGTTCGGGCCTCGGAAGGTCACTGGTGTAAAGTGAATACAATGTTGGAGAGAGCACAGCCCTCTGTGGCACTCCAGCGAGGATCTCTCTGTTGTCAGACAGAGAGCCCTCTACTCTAACCTGAAATGTTCTGTCATTCAGGAAAGACCCAATCCACCGGATCAGGCCCCGAGGCATCTAAGAGAACAATGTGCATTTTTTGTTGTTGTTGAGCTCGTGGATGGTGTTTTCGACCAGCCTTAGAGCTTCAGGAGATAACACTCAGTGGAGTGTTCTCTCCTGAAGCAAAATTGTTCATTAGGCAGCCATTGGAGAACAACTATTTCAGCCAGCTTAGCCGCCGACGAGAGTAGACTGATTAGGCGATAGTTCTGTGGGAACAGCGGATTCTGATCCTGTTTTAGGATCATGACGACGATCGCATGTTTCCACTTTCTGGGGAAGTGTATGAGGGCCAACGAACTATTTATGATATGCAATAAGCATTTGACGCAGTTTTCCTGGTCATCTTCAACAACCTATTGGTTATTGAGTCGGCCCCCGGAACTTTCTTGGCCGTTGCGGCCCTGATGTAACCCTTCAATTCTTCCACAGAAGCTGGACGGAAGTTATCATCGTCATCTTCCCTGAGGATACGGTATACCCGGTCTTCCAATAGCATATCGCGGTCGATGTCGTCATCATCGTCAACGTAAAGTTGAAACTGACGTTTCATCGTGTCGGCAAAGGCTAACGCTTTGTCGGCAGGGGAGTAGCACACTCCGCGCTCTTCGTGAATGGGTGAGAAAGCAGTCTTCTTCCCCCTGAGCCTGAGGGTGACTCGCTAAAGCTCGTCATCCCCAGGTTCGAAGGATTCCAAAAGCTCTTCCCACCTTTCGTTTCGGTGATCAATGATGGCCTGCTTTACTTGGTTGGCCATCCTACTAGCCGCAATTTTATCTCCTGGGAAAAGGATTCGTTGATAGAGCCTTCTCAAGCGATTTCTCTCTCGTAACAAGGCTTTGATACGAGGGGGAAACTCATTATAGCTCTTCAGCGGACACTCCTCCCTGGAGGTTGCCACTGGAAACGCATCACGAGCCATATTTTGCGGTCGGATCGACCACACAATTGCAGTCGCGTTTCAGCGAACTCAAGCCGCCCATAAGAAATACTGTATAACACGTACACGGGCGTTCACAAAAGTCAAAACGGACGTCTGCAGTCAACTTGCTGCTGATCTCCGCCGAAATGTCATCGCGGCATCCGCCGTACACTAACCACAAACTTGCAGTCGTACCCAGCCGCGTACATCGTCGTGTACTTTTTCTCATATTGGTCTCCCAGCGTTCAATTTTTGATTTCAAAAGTCTAATTAATTCATCAAAAGAACTAATGGACATTCTGAAGTAATTAAAAAAATGTTTTTCGTCTTGCCGGAGTTTACCGGTTGTTGCTTGTATGTTATTTCATTGTAATTTCGGTGTTTTGCTTGATAAAATTGTTTTTTCAGCTAATCTTTTTGATTTCTTTATAGATTCTTTCAGGGAGTGCAAGTCAATTTATATCATATTAGACAATGGAAGTCCAAACTGATGAAATGCACCACGAAACATTGTCAACCATCTTCGAACAAAATATAAAAATTTCCTTCCTGTTGTCCCGCAACCAGAAGTACATGTACCCAAAACGATCGTACGATCGTCTTCTGCTTCTCCTCTAAATAAGAAATAGTAGTGCTTCTTCTTCGAAATCCGTATTGAAACTGGCACTAAACTCTGACACCACAAAATATAGATGTCAGTTGCCTCAACTGCAAGTGCGGTTTATATGACCGCAAGTCGACCACAAAAATGTGGTTGGGTCAACCGCGAAGTGCAGTCAACGTGGCCACAATGTTGTGGTTGCCTCAACTGCAAATATGTGGTCCGTGTACGGCCGTACTTAGATCTCATGCGGTAATCAGGAGAAGGAAGTTCATCACCCAATACCAGGATTACTGGATTATGATCGGAGTCCAGTTCCGACAGAACGTAAATTTCGCTAGTCAGAGAGACGTTTCTGAGAAGCGCGATGTCTAGTACATCAGGCCTAGTCTGCCCGCGATAGTACGTAGGCTCATCTGGTCCCAGCACAAGATATTCGTGTCTGTCAACATGCGCATGGAGCGCTTGGCCGTTTCCATTTGTGGCTCTGTTCCATGATCTGTGCTTGGCATTGAAGTCGCCAGCAGCAATTGTCGGAATGTTATTCTGCATGTATTTTTATTCCTGTCACTAACACCACTCGAAAACATAATATCCAACTCAGAATATTACGCAGGAATGAAGATCCGTTCTTTTTTGTCCCTTCTGGTATGCAGTAGATAGCAGGAAAAAACTCACGGTGAAACGCACTAACAAAAGTAGGTAGGTTAGGTTAGGTCCAAAGTGAGTGGGTCTATTCGACCCTTCACCGCAACCCACAAGGATTTATTGTGGCTCACACCTATTCACACTCGACCAAATAAACCCAGCTTCATAACGAAGCCGATTAGTTTGTATGGTGAGTGGTCTTTCAGGTTAGATGGTAAGAGTACGGCTCTGCCGAACTCTAATAACATGATTCGGTACCCAGCGGGGCAGGCACAGAGTATGTGCTCTGTAGTTTCATCATTTTCATTTCAAGAGCTTCCAACGTCGCTTGACTGCTCGAGAATATTTTTATTGACTTGTGAATGAGATTGAATTGCTCTCTACTTCATCATTGAAAAAAAACATGTAGATTTCAAAGAAAAGCTACACTATTTTGTTTTTCCATGAAGAAATGAGGAGCATTCAGATAAGTTTTTTTCAGATACGAACTGGAAGATAAAAACCCTTTCAAAACAACTACCTCCCAAAAAACAAATCTCCTGTGAAATTATTTATTTTTCAATTTGAATGTACTTATAGTGTTTTGCATAATGGTTGAGCTTTGCGAAATTGTAGCTATAGAAGCTTATTATTATCTATTTCCTTTCCACGTGGGGATTTACATATATTATATATGAATTGGAATGCGATTGCGATTGTTAGGGTCTGTTATTTCACATAATTCCGATAAATCTAGCTAATGACCTATAAAATGAATCATTATGCTTTGTAACTGAATCGAGAAAAATTATTGTATTAAGTTGCGTGTAATCGGAAGTATAAAAAATGACTGTGAAATACTAAAAATAATCATCTCATAACAATTGTTCATTACAATTTTTCAAACAAATTTAAAAAATTTTTAGGACATTCCAATTAAAACGAGCCACTTTGAATGAGTCATTTGATACTGAGTCTTCAAAAATAGTAAATCACGTCAACTTCAGTTTTCAGATGAACATTCAAATTTACAAATAAATTCCTTGTCAGCCAGTAGAAATGACAGTCGAGTAACAACTTACTTGGGAGGCATGTCAATTATTGTATATCCAACAATGGTACATTACATTTACAAGCAATGTAAAAAAAATGAATATTTTTTTAAGTTTGTATTTAATTTCGAACTGGAAAGTAAAACTAAACAGAAAGACTTACTATATCGAATGTTTGAACTGAGCATTATTACCTTGTAGACAATGATATAATCCAGCTTCTGCCTCCTCCCTTACATTTTAAAGAAGTATAGGTGTTAGTAACCTAAATCACCTGATAATTTCTTTCTAACTACAGTAGTTGGCTGCGTCTCGTAGACTTTCGATTCCAACCATCCTCATAGAAAAAAGTTCAGTGAACTCAAATCGGGGGATCTGGATGGCCATTCTGTAGAACTTCCTCTTCCAAGTTGTTATCGAAGAACTGTCACACTAGCATTAAGCATTCAGGAAAACTCTCATCTTGTTGATAAAATATTGCATATTGCATTAGAGTATCTTACTGGATGACATTGTTGATTCTTGGCAACAATTCGAAAAATCCTTTACCATTTAAGTTTGAGAATGGTCCTTCAGTATGATCACCCAAAATTTCTATCTGGATATTCAGTTCTCATCAATATTAACTGAGAATTTGAAGAGGCATATTGGGATTTGACGAATATGGTGAATGAACAAAAAGCAATAATAAGAAAACAAAACATTCATAATATTCAGAAAAACATATTTTTTCGAAATTTTATTTATGCTTTTTCAACAATTTTTATTGTTCATGAGAAATAAAAAACAATCAATTTTTTTCAACGAGAATATTTCCAGACACTGACAAAGATTACCACTGACAAAGGTGAAAGAGCCGGGCTTCAATTTCGAAATTTTTGAACTATCACAATTTTCATTTATTTCAACCCATAATCAAATAAATTTATAAATATACACCGCAGCGGGACACAATATCAAGTTATAAAAGAGTTAATCTGGAAACTTAGTTCAGAAGTTTGTTTTTTCCTTGTAGGCGTTGATGGCAAAATGGAGACTGTTCACAAGAGGATACGGTTTTCCACAAAGCCCCGTGAAGTCGTCAGTGTCTAAAGCCCACACCATGAATCCGCCCAAATTTTTCTGTTTGGCAAACTCGACTTTATATCCTAGAGACTTTTCGTCTTCGTATCCAACCCATTGATCTACGTCGCCGATTCTGTGGGGAACTTTTTGCTCGTCGTCCCAAACGTAAGTCCAATCCATGTGAAATTCACAGATCTGAAAAAGATGAATCATTATCAGCGATGGAGGTAGATTTGGAACCTCTGGTATAGTATGAATCTAACAAGAATACTTTCACGATACATCAGAACTGTAACACGACGTGTTGAACATAACAAACTATAGAGCAATCTCCATCATTTCAACTTCTGAAAAGGTTTATAAAAGTATCACGTACAAAAATATCTAACTGGCCCCAAATGGGGCCAAATGGTGCCAAATGGGGCCAGTTAGATATGTTCACTTTGTTATGTACAGCAGCTCACCAACATTTTAAGTTCAAACATGGTTGGGGCATGATTTGGAACCCCAACAATGGGGTTGGATAATGCGTAATGAATTCCTGGAACTTATCACGACAATTTTAGCATCTGCACCAGATGAGTTGCTAAACACAATGTTCTGCAACTGCAAGAGTGGATATGGTTTGCAATGGGGATGCAGGAAATCGGGATTGCAGCGCTATTTAGCTTGTGGCCAGTGTAATGGGCAAGCTATATAGGAGCAATGTCACAACTTGATCATTGAAAGACTCGCGGAGATCGGGATAGATTAGCATCTTCTGGTGTGGATATCGTCATATACTACAGAAAGGCATCAAGTTGTGGATGTTAACGGTTACCAGTCAGAACCTTTTGTGGTTACATCAGGTGTACCACAGAGGAGGCACTTGGGACTATTACTTTTTATAATTTATATTAACGATATTGTTGAAGTATTTCAACATTCCAACTTTTTGTTATATGCCGATGACCTCAAGATTTATCGAATCATCAAAGAAATCCAGCACTGTGAGAGATTGCAAAATGATCTTGAAGCAATCAGATATACATTAACACAATGATTGGTACCTTCACAAGTAACCTGAAATAACAAAATATCACCTGAATGATCAATACTTCATCTGAAACACCAAAACAATAAATATTCAACTCCTATAATATAGTAATGATTCACTGTTTGGAACCTTTTGTGTAGTAATGAATATTACTGGAGTTTTTTCCCAACACCAAATCGTTATTTTCAACACCTCGACACGTGTTTTGATCACCAAGTTATCATCTTCAAGAGGAAGATTAAACTGAAAAGTTTGGCGAAGCCAACCCTATTTATGCTATACAGGTATACCACACTTGCAGGTGTACCACACCTTTGCTGTCTTAAATTAATTTTACAATTTGCCTTATCTATTAATTTTACAATATGTCCTTTAGTATTGCTTAAATTTTATAGGTATATACAAAACAATTTTCAAGCTATAGAAAAATTAATTTCGCAATATTGCACATCTAAATTTTTACAATATGTCCTTAGTTATAGTCAGAAATGGAAACCAAAGAAAGGTCTGAGAATTTCCTAGGATTTGGCTAAGGTATGTGGAAGATATTTTCACGATATTCGATACCAAAAAATCGAATATTGGGGACTTTGTTTCCTTTTTAAATAATAAATGTCCATCAATAAAATTCACGTATGAGTTAGAAAATAAGGGACAACTACAATTTCTTGACGTTTTGGTAATGAGGAGCCAATATGGAGTGTTAGAATACGATATATTTAGAAAAGAAACAAGCACGTACATCATTGTGGACAGCACAAACGTGCTGGTTTGAATTTTTAGTGCATCATCTTTTGACTTTACCTCTAACACATGAGAGGTTCACAAAAGAAAAACGTACAATACAGGAAATAACAGCCACTAACGGTTTCTCGAGGGGTATTGTAGATGACATAATAAGCAAGAAGAAGCTTAGGTTAAGACAGAACGAAATCTCGACTTTCAGAAAGGATAAAAACCAAAATAAATACAACTCAGTTCCATACCACCAATACACGAAAAACTTTGGAAAGATTTTCAAGGAACTAGGTATGAAGGTGGTTTTTAAAACAAGTCATACACTACAGAGCCTTTTGGGAAGCTCAAAAGACAAAGTCGAGAATTCGGAAAAGTCTGGAATTCACGAAATTGAATGTAAGGACTGCGATGCAAAATATGATGCACAGACAAAAAGATCTATTAAAATAAGATATAAAGAACACATAGCACACTTAAAATATGGAAGACCTGGAAAATCAGCAGTCGCCCATCATATTTTGCAACAAAACCATTCCATAGACTTCAGTTCATCAAGATTAGTTAGACAACTTAACAACAACAGGCAACTAGATGCCTATGAGAGTGTAGAAATAAGTAAACATAATGATATTATGAATAATGCTGACGGACCAATATCAAATGGTATACTATATAGCTTGTGTCCTTATGTAATAGTCAGTAAACATGACTATTGACACATTGTAAAAATTTAGATAGGCAATATTGTGAAATAAATTTTTATATAGCTTGAAAATTGTTTTAAACATAGCTATAACATTTAAACATTACATAAGGACATATTGTAAAATTAATAGATAATGCAAATTGTAAAATTATTTTAAGACACCAAAGGTGTGGTACAGCTGTAAGTGTGGTATACCTGTATGGAATACCTGTATAGCATATCCCGTGAAGGGCGGCACTGATGTCTAAGGACTTCATGCCGTCACCAATTCAGTCATGAACCCATTGGTCCCTATCAAGACCAACAATCAGCCAAAAGGGTAGGGGAGCTGGTCTCCAAACCTGGATGAAATGACGATGACATTCTGACCTGTATAGCATAAATAGGGTTAGCTTCGCAAACTTTTCAGTTTAATCTTCGTCTTGAAGATGATCGCTTGGTAATCGAAACACGTGTCAAGGTGTTGAAAATAACGATTTGGTGTTGGGAAAAAACTCCAGTTATATTCCTATAACATATCAAAATTAATGACTATTGGTCCAAAAACACTACTTCAACATCATGCAATTCTAACGTCGTGAAAAAGCAATATGAATCACGAATGTTTTTCAAATAGAGCATGACATTTCATCAAGGTTAATGTCAAATGTTTTTTTTTTATTAAAATTATAACAACAGCGTACAGTTCAACATGTTTAAGACATTATAAATATGAAATATGTTGTTATTATCCCTAATCAGCAAAAATGCTGGTCTCGGGATTCACAAACATTCAACATGACAAGTGAAACATAAAAACTAGTAAATCACCACTGAGCTCATAGTATCAAAGTATCAGACATGTGCCTCGAGGCTCAGATGTTCTTTTGAACTATTGATGAATGAACTATAGCCCGGCAACCCAGGTATATGGACAGGTAATTCATTGAAGACTTTTATAGCCTGTGTAAAAGGATTGTATAATCCTTTGTTCGTTCTTACCATGCTCAGGTGTAAGTCATTTTTACCCCTTGTATTATACTCATAAAACTGGTTGTTGACTAGTAGATCGTTGTTGCTTTTGATTATTTCGTTTTTTAAACCGGGGCCCCAAAACGGAACTCTGTGGTACGCCACAATTATTTTTATTATGCTCACTCATAATATCACCAACAACGACAAACTGGGATATCTCTTTTAAAAATGTCTCAATGAGAGAATAAGTTTTGCCCCTTATACCCATGCAACATAGTTTGTTAAGAAGAACAGTATGGTCAACAACGTCAAATGCCTTTCTTGAATCAATGAATACTGCAATAACCATTCTTTTTTTATCCAATTCCGATTTAAAACCATACTTATACTCATCAAATCCCACATAACTATCAACAAAGTCTATTATTCTCGTCTTTATTATAGTTTCAATAATTTTAGAAAATGAGCACACAATTGTTATAGGCCTATAATTTTCTAAGTTTTTGTTATCACCACTCTTAAATATTGGTATTACTTTTCCAGTCTTCAGTATCTCTGGAAATATCCCCGCTTTGATGATATCGTTTATCAAATTAACGACAATTAATATTATTTCTTTAACGGATATGTTGTCGTGCCCTGCTTCAGAGTTAATGCGAGAGAACATACCTCATTATATCCCAAAAATCCTGATTGATTTGTGTAGGGTCCCCGATTTCCTGGTCCAGCACTTGGAGCATACAGTTGGGTGTTTGATGGGTCTGCTAATTGGAAGCATCTTCCGTAAGTGACTATTCCAAGGTTGATTTTTTCTGGATCAGCACCCATGTAGATCCAGTATTCAATACCAGTGGCCTGTTCGAAAAATTGCGGTGATATAAATAGTGGAAGAATGTGAATAAAAATAGAATTATGAAGAAACCACTGGAGAATTCATATATATATATATTTTTAATTGAGAGCAGGTACGTTGTGTCTTTGTCGAAATCGTGATTAGTAAATCATATGGGACCACGATGAATTGTCACTTGAATACGTTATATATTTTCATCAAGTATCGGCCAATACCATCACATGAATATATATCGTGACTGAAAAATTACACTCGTGCTAAAATACCATATAAAGTTTTCCATAATAATTTACAGGTACCTCATAATAACTTCCTTTCCCGGAGACAAATCCGAGAGAAAGAAAAATTGACAAGAATACTGTTTGTGTAGACGTTCAAGATCTGGCAACATTTACTGTCTTGTATTATCGAATAACTGCATCACCCTTATGTATGTATGTATATTTCTGACCCTTGCCACATGTGGGGCTTAGATATTTTCAAGTGGTGTTAACAATAACACTTTTAGGACAGAGTAAAATAGAATACAGTCCAAGAAGGTTGAGTTGTAATCACCTAAGAAAGTGAACAATAAATACAGACAGCAAACACTGGAGTTTTTTTTGTTTAGAATTATTAGAGTTCGAATTCAAGGGGATGAACTCCAACATAGTGGTCCTTCGAGCCGGATATATTTTTAGATTGAAATATATTCGAGAAAAGTTTATCAGGTTTTCAAATTCAGTTGTTTGCTGACGATCGGTATTGAGCTATTTCAAGTGGAGAATTAAGTGGACGGTGAAAAGTACGTACATACGTGGAACACGTAGTGCATCTATGTGGAAGTCATTGGAGTGGAGTCGAGCCATTGAAGGCAGTATCGAGTGTGGATACGATACTGGTGAAGCGTTTCCGCCGTGAAACTGTGGCGGAGACAACAATTTATAACGAATTGGTGAGTCGTTCCTTATTCCTGTTCATTTCGTTCCTCTGTCAATTTAGGGTGAATTAATTAAATTAGTAAATCATGTCAGAAAATCAATTAAGAGTTCTAAATCGTAAAAGAGGTATTGTTAAGGGAAAATGAACAAACTTCATTAAGTTTATGGAAGATTCTGCTCAAAACCAAAACTCCAGGAATGATGATTCGCTAGTGGAACTGTATACACGATTAGAAAGGGCTTCTTGTTTGCTTGACGAATTCGAGTAAATCCAAAGTGAGATAAATCTAGTTGTTACTGATGAGGATCATCAGATTGAAGCTGAGAGTAGATCAAATTTTGAAGATCTGTTTTATAAAAACACTGCGAGAGGAAAAGAAACTGGCTGGTTTTAGGAAAATCACAAACAATTTTGATATTGCAACTGTGCCTAATGAACAATGGCATGATCTAGGTGGTAATAATAGTGTAAGTACACCGGGGTCTATACAGGGTATAGTTTCTCTTACTGCAAGACCTAGGTTACTGTCAATCCCGATACCTTCCTATAGTGGAGATTTCGAAAACTGGTTAGAGTATAGAGACAATTTTGAATCTCTGGTACAAAGTAATTCTTCCATATCAAATATAGAGGTGCTCTTCAAGAAGGAGCACAAAAGGTGTGAAATGGTGAATGTTTCAGCGGAAAATTAGTGGTTTGGAAACTATTGGGTGAAAGCTATGATAATACGCCGATATCGGTCAACTTTCATTTGAAATCTTTAGTGAATTTTCAGACAATTCATAATCTACATTGAATTTACGAAATATGCATGACACTATAATATTCGCATACGAATACAAGACAGTAAATGTTGCCAGATCTTGAACGTCTACACAAAATATAAAAAGTTATAATATTCTGAAAAAATACTTTGAAGCAATTTCTACCAATTACTTTTTCAGATAGTACAAGAGTCAATTAAAAAACTCACCACTGTCAAAGTTGAGTTTCTGCCGTGCTCGTAGTCCAAAGAGGAGGCATGGAGAGGTGATCCGTGCCCAACAAACGGTTCGAAGTGCCCATGGAAATCGTACACCATTACGTTGATCATGTCCAACAAACTGAAACATAGCACAATTATTGGAAATTAAGAAAATTGGAAAATATGGAACTTCTCCGCAACGTGGAAAAAGCCGAGTCACTCAATGAGTTATGAGTGATCACCCTGTGAATGTTTTGAAATTGTCGAACAGAGTCAGTTTTTGTGGAAGTGGTCAACTAGACCACCTTATCTTACCCCTTTGAATCTCCTTCTGTGGGGACACTGACAATTGAAAGTTTACCCTGGATTTGTAGGTTCAAACAAATCCAGAAGAGCCATGACAAAGAATTATTCGGGAATGCTGAATATTAACCCTGGATCTATTGAATAATATATAAAGAGGTTTTGAAAATTGACTGTATCATTATAATGGTAGATGAAAATCATAAAACTTTCCACATCAATGTCTTATGTAACAAAAGAACTAAAATCGATGGAAAATGGTGCTATCCATAACAATAACTCTTCAATAACAAATCATCGTGTTGTTTCACGTTAAGAACAGTGTCAAACATGTTGCTAAAATGTTTAGGATGTATTTATTTATTCATTTATAATGAGGCCATTCGAATAATTGAAAATTGAGATTGACAATTTTTGATGTACAATAAAAGGATCTCAATGAATAACGAATACATTGGATGCTATTGAAACTATAGTACGACTACATCTTGGGAAGATGGGTTAGCTGTCCGTGTTCATCTTTCACTTCCTGAACCACTGTGTATGATGTTTTTGGCAAGTGTTTTGGCTTGGGATGTGGGGGTTGAGCAAACCGGCCATCGGATGCTTGCTTCCACGTAGCCCTGCTGGATACGGGAATGACACAATCACGTGTGGTTCTGTTATTCGCTAACTGAATGACATCCCAAAGATGGCTTGATCCTAAGGTGTGTGTATCCGTGCCGAGAGGATGGATGACACTGAGCCTATCAGCTGTCACGGTAATGCGGGGCTCTGCCGTGATTGACCTTCTTTCCCTAGCTACTCGTGGGACTTTTATGGACAGAATAAACTTGGGTATGGATGTCGAGCTTACGACTCCAACTGACCTATAAATTAAGATCAGGAGAGAGAGAGCTTTTCAACTCTCCAACTCCTGATTCAACAACTTAACCTAAGAAAAGGTTTGGTGGTGCAGCCAGGAAACGACTGAGTCTTCTCCTCAAGAGCGGGGTACCTTATGAAACCGCCTTGCACCAAATTCTTGAGCGGCGTACGCAGAATCTGTCTCAGGTGGAAGAACAAACCACCCATGAGCTGGTTAGCAAACGTTTGCGATCAAGCGATGATTCACCAAAATCAGAGGCGAAAAAGCCCTGCAGGGGTGAATCTAAGGCATCATCAGGTGTAGCTGACGTGCAAAAACCCTCTTGTCCCGGGTATCAAGGTGAGAATCTTGCACCTTGACTATCCGACTACCTCATCAACGATGAAACAGCAGAGCATGTATTTTATGCCTGCCCCTCTGGGGACCGAATCAGGTTCGGCAGAGCCGTACTCTTACCATTTGACTTGAAAGACAACTCACCATACAAACTAATCGGCTTCGTTAAGAAGCTGGGTTTATTTGGCCACAATAAACCCTTGCGGGTTGTGGGGGAGGGTCGAATAGACCACTCACTTTGGACCTAACCTAACCTAACCTAACACCTTGGAAAATTTATCTGTGCCTCTGAATATTGGATGCGCAGTAGATCGTATTAGAATCATATCAGACAATGGAAGTCCGAACAAGTCAAATTTACCATGAAACATTGTCAATCACTTTCAAACAATCGTATCTCTTATCGTTACTGTATTAGTAATAATGTAAAGTTAAATTTTCGCCAGCCGGTATAAGAAATTACCGTTATCTCTCAGAAATACTGAAAATTTGTTGGAATTGCTCGAAGGGAGAATGAGAAAATGTGTATTATTTGAGTTATTTTATGATAAGTGTTAGGAATTACACGTAAAAAGGTAAGACCTCGTTAGTCCTTAGCTCGCACAAGTTTTTCAACTTTTGAGAGTTATTGTTCGTATGGGGGCGACAGCTGATTAACGGAAAAACAGATTTTAAACAGAATATCCAAAGATACTGGAGATTTTTCTCGTGGATGATGATTTGCTGCAACAGATTCGCACTACAGAAACAGAAAAAAATCAGAAAGAGATGTTTTTACGTAACACTCACTTGTTGAGTCGTGGTATGTCGTAACCGAGGTTAATTCTTTCAATTCCACCAGCCACAGCTGCAGTGAATAGTAATCCTCTAGGTTTCAATAGATCGCTGATTTCTGTCAAGAGAGCGATGAAATTTTCCTGAAAAAAAGTAAGAACTATCATACCAACATCACAGTATTATACACGACTTCTCAACAAAAACTAAATATTTTTGAAACAAATAGAGATGTCAAAAATCGTAGGGGACACAGTTACCTTCCCACAAAAATTAACATTCCATGTGTTTTGAAACTTCAACTTTAAATCCAGATTTACTGAATGTTGAACGAGTCGTAATACTGATAATGAAAAACTAAAAAAACTAGTTCGAATTGGAAGGGGTATATTTTCAGGAGAGACCAGTTAGACGTTTTTAATATTTTTTGAATGAAGACGGAGAAGTAGAAAGCCAAAACTAACCTCGCTCAAAAATATACCCCTTTCAATTTAAACCAGATTCCTATAGCTGGGATTGGATTGAATACGCGTATGAATGTCATTAAAAGTGAAATTTCATATCATAAGAGGACGTTTGCTTTCAGTTAGTACCTGAAAGTGACTTTTCAATTTCTTTCTTCCTTCCGTTAGAAGTTTTCCACTACTTTTGTATACAGATGGAGAAGTAGAAAGCCAACACCTTTCTTTCTCGATAATACTAGTAGACTTAGATAACAAACAAATAATAAAACAATATGACAGCAATGAAAATAACATGGTAACACATAAATTACTCTACTTTGAGGGAAATTAATCTGTCGAATTCGTCCAAGTTATGAATAATTTTTGGTTGGAAATTTTCTTCAGCCTTCCTTTAAATATCTTCTATGATCAACAGTTTCTTATATTTTCAGGAATCCTATTGAAGTACTGAACGATCTTTCGGAATTGCCATAACATCCAAAATTTGATGTGGAGAAATCTGCATCTGGTGACAGCAGCTGCCAAAGTAATCACGGCAATAGCGGCAATAGCGAGAGGGTTATATAGTATATAATATGGTTATAGCTAAATCATATTCTACAATTGAATAACAGCGAAGAATAAATACTATCGTTACAAAAATAAGTCCATATTATTTCAATGGTAACGATAGGAGGGATCATTACAAGGAGTGACAAATAAATAAAGAAAGTACCGGATTATTTCACTGGTTATCCAGTAAAAGTCCAGTTACAACAGTATATATGGAATAAAGAAATCTCTAAGGCTGCAAAGTGGGAGGGATGGTCCACCTTCTTGAAGGTTCGCATAAATATGTTAAAGACGTATCAACATCGTTTCCCGAAAGTTCGTGATGATTTTCAACGTTGAGTACACCATCAATAAAGAATCTATGACATGATTTTGAGGAATATCTTTTCATATATTGAGTTTTACGCTGTTAATGAATTTTCCTTGTAATGAAGATTGTTAGCACACCAATCCCTACATACACATTTATTTTCAGGGAATGTATAAAGAAATATTCATATGTGAATATATGACTTCAAAGGGAGCTAATTCAGAATTGATCTAATTGATAACAAAAAACATATACGAGGATGTGGAATACGACAACAAATAATTTCTCAATGCCACTTCAACTTTTTGCTTTGTTGAAAAAAAAAATCATCTGGTAATTTATTATGGGCAATTATTCCTTTGTAATATACATATAGATATTCTGGAGAATGCAAATTTGGGATCTGAGCTGTCTTGTTTGATGATCATGTACATTTTGAGGTTATGTTAATTTCATAGTGGAACGAGCTGCAGAAAGGTGTCTTTTTTTCAATTTCTAAATAGAATTGATATCGAGTGAACGCTTCGGTTCTAAGAAAGGTACATGAAAACTGCATTTTGAGTCATCATTGTGCTGTATTATCAGTGTAGTAGTGAAATAAAATTGAGTTGATTTGCATAGTGGCCAGAGACATATTTTTTTAATTTTATATATTATCCCAATGGTTGATGCTAATTTTTTTTGAAGTACATCAATCTGGATATTCCACGAAAGAATTTCATCTAGGCGTAAAATTTGAAATTTAGTGAATCTTTCCGTTTTGTTGTGTCCCAACACTCATTTGGAAGTTGGGCCTTTTATCAATAAACATAAGTTAGGAGATTTTTTTGAATTTCAATGTCATTTTGTGAATTTTGAACGAAATATACTGGAAATGAAACTAGAAGAAAGAACTTTTTGAAACAACTACTTGAACAAAATACATATCCGTTTGCATACATACATAAATACATATTGCATCCATATAAATAAATACATTCATAAATACATATTATTATGCAATTTGCAAAGTTTCTTGTAAAAGTTATTTTGACACATAACAAAAGTTATTTCTAACACTTCATTTTGTGGGACTTCATATCCATATTCTGTTTATATACTTCTATACTCACCTTATCTATATCAGGATGTGATCCATTTCTGGACCCGGGGTACTCCCAGTCCAAGTCGAATCCATCAAATGACTTACTTTGGACAAACTCTAAAACATTTCGAGCGAGTGTCTTTCGTAACACTGGATCTTTAGCTACATTCGAATAATTTCCTGAACCTTCATTCCAACCTCCCATACTAACCAAAACTTTCAGCTGGGGATTATATTTCTTCAATTCTACGATTTTCTTGAATCCATCTGCAAAAGGACACAAGACAAAACTTATTACGAACTTCCTGAGCATCTTTGGGCCTTCTCGATTACCCGATCTAACTAAACTTGACATATTTTTATTGATTTGAAACACATTTCGCGAAAAATGTCGAAAGTACAGTCAAGAGACCCTTCCTCAAGAAAACTTGTCTATACAACTCGAAAATCTATAGATATGGTTAAGAAAGGCAAAGTTTATGTGTGTGCACAAATGCGGATCTATATTGTCAACGTCGAATTGGCCATTTCCATGACGATAGACTGTCCAGCTGGCAAAGTAGCATACTATTCTGTCACTAGAAACTGAAAAAGAAAGGATTATGTTGGAAAATTGAACAAGATTCAAAACTTGCACCAAAAGCCATAGACATTGGAAGCATATTTTTCAGACTGAAGTAACAAATTATCATTTTTCACTCTAGAGCAACGTATATTCAGAGAAATCTGTGGTGCATTGAAATATTGATGTAACATCATTGTCCAAAGTAGGATTCATATGCACATCATGCGGCTCACGTTATTGATAGCAGGGGAGCCCACGATGCAAAATGGGGATTTACTCGAGAGTCATTGAGACATATTAGGTTGCAAAGCTTAGATGATAAGGAGAAAAAAATGTTATATAATATACCTTTCCATCGGTGGTGGAAGTGGCTATAGATTTTTAAATATGTAAAAAAATACTGTTGCATGGACATACTCGAGCGCGTCAGATATTGATAGCATCAATGTTCTATGTATTTTTAATAATGTTGGTATGTTAATCTGATCGTTTGCATGATGTGTGTGGTTGTACGTGAGGATCAAGAGTGAAAAAAAATGAATCGAGCGCGTCAGATTTTCTAAGGGGGTCTTAAGTGCAACAAAAAACAGCTCTCATTCAAGAATCTGACTATTTCGATCTGACGCAAATTCGCGGCCATTATTATAATGTGCAGAAAATTTGCCATTTTGAAATACTCAAGCGCATCAAATTAGGATATATAAGGTTCATCTTTACGTTTTAGACGTGCTGTCTCATTATCTGACGATTATCTAGAGGGATTCCCTTAATCTGACAAAAAAAATTGAAACGGTAGGTGGTATATTTAGTAGGTCCCTTTTATTTATATGACATTCATTTCAGACTTTGACTTTTATCGAAGGGTGGAAAGTTTTGATTTAATTTTTATTTTATCTCGGCCAAAGAGCAGTGAAATATAGAATCACTCCAGAACATATCAATTCAAAAATAATCTGAAAAAATATTTTTCGGAATGTAAACTAATGACACGGAATATGCAGCAAAATAGGCACCCGCCAAGACCTACCTTTTACAAAAAACGTTCTTTAATTACATAATTGTAACAGTTGTATTCAATCGAGTTGACAACAATATAAAAAAATGGCGCTTGTCAAATTGAATCATCATATCTGTGATTGGATATTAACGAACGAAGCAGCACCTTTGATGTGATTTTTTTTCTTCTTTCCTTTTTTTTATAATCTAGTTCTTTGAATTGATTTGTATTTCTTTGTTTAGTAAATGAGTTTATGCACTTGGCAACTCCGCTCTAGACACGATCAATTTTATTGGTCAATAGACACGCGGCCAATTTGAATTCTTGCTTTTCGAATTATTCTTTTTTCTGCAAATATAAAGAGATTTTGGGATCGATTAGGATTATAAGTATAATATATCCCTAACCCGATCAGTCTATAAGCAAACCAGTATCATTTTCCATAGCATGAAACAAGCCCATTGTGTTTATGTGAAATAAGCTTCCTGAGAAAGATTTTCCAAAGGGAAATAATCTCCAGCGACTCAAATCGTTACTTTCATACATGCACCGCTTTTGGAGCGCCTTCGGGATTTCCCTGTAGAGCTTGGGTTTTGTTCTGAAAATATATTGCATGGTTTTGTACAGAAACAATTAAAAATTCGTCCTTATCGGCTTTAAACCTCACAGTTGGCGGTATCGCAGAAATTTTTTACATTTGAACAATGAACCTCGAAAAATAACTCGCTTCCCAAACTTGAATGCAAACAAAATAAAGTGAGTCACGCAGCGTGCTGTTAAACATCTGGTAAAATATATTTTTTCATAAACTTACTTTCGCTCCTCTACAAACGACAACTCTCTAAAGTCGTAACTTTTTGCGAACTGAGGATTAACGAGGTCCTTTCGCTAAACATGTAATTCCCAGCACGTATACTACACCAAAAGCAGACGAATCGGTGTAAAACGTTCCACGCTGACGTAATGTACCCTCAGAAAAATATTTGATATCTAGACAGGGGTAAGACGTTCAGCGTATTACGCCCACCATGGCGCATAAAACCTGTCGCTAAGAAAACGTACCTTCAGAACCACGGTTGCTATAATAACTTATGCTATATATCTTGTGAACGTGGTCAATGCCGGGAAGAATTTTACACCTCTAGGGAAAATATGTTCCATTTTTTTATAAAGTTTGTTGAACTCATACATACAAGGAAGCCAAAATAAGGTGAAAAATATTGATTTTGCTGTGAATTGTTTCATGAGGACCTTCATTTAATCTGTTTTTATCATTTTTCAAACGGTGTAGTAATACAAATAGTTGTATCAAGTATTTGTTCTGATAAGCTGTTGTCTATACAACATTTTTTCCTGATATCTAGAGTACACAATCTAGAAGGTGTGTTCATCATACCTATTTTTTGTTCCAAAAACTATGATAGGTTCTATCAGAATTGTATCGGAATTGACTGGGAGAGCATTCTGACCAAAGATAATCCTTTCTTATCATTTCACAGCATGTTATTGGACGTGTATGATAAGTCTTTTCCTATACAGAAAATCAAATCGAAGCGTAAAAAGCCGTGGGTGACGGAAGGACTGAAAAATTCCTCAAAAAATTTATCTGTATGTACCTCACGAGGTACCGTATAATTTATAAATCAACTATCAGGTTAGCAAAGAAAACGATTTACACAAACAGAATCGGAGAATCAACTAACAAAAGTAAAGAGACTTGGTTCATAGTAAATGACCTCAGAGGAAAATCAAAGAATACAGAAGTTGATATCCCATTGAATCCTAACAAAACAAATGAATTTTACTGCACCATTGCTCATTAACACATTAACACATTAATGGAAACCATGAACGACATCAGAAATAAAAATACCGCTGGGTATGAAGAGATTTCTGTAAAAATACTTTTGAATCTACCAGGCAATGCATTGAAAACTTTAATCTCATTAATTCCTCCTTCGAAACTGGCTCATTCCCTCCTTTTTTAAGACTTTAATTGTTATTCCCCTACATAAAGGTGGTGATTTGCATAATCCCTCCAATCTGCGACCCATTTTCAATTCTAACCTTAGCGAAAATTATTGAAAAATTAATGAATAAACGATTGCATGATTTCTTAAATTTGCACGATATCATGAGTAATAACCAATTTGGGTTCCAGACGGAGAAAGATACAAGTGATGCAATATTCTCATTCCTTTATAAACTTTATTTAGAAATAAATGCTGGTGAAGTAGCTGCCTCAATTTTCTGTGACCTTTCGAAGGCTTTTGATTTTTTTTCTGATTGATTCGGCCGTTACTCGATGAAGATCCACAGTAATTTCAAAAACTACACCTCAACGATTTGATCTCCACAAACTTGATTGTGTTAATCATGAATTATTACTCAAAAAACTTCACCGGTATGGCTGCAGAGGGGTGACGTACAATTGATTTGAATCATACCTTTCAGGCCGAAGTCAAATGGTAAACATCGGAACTCTCAGAAAGCAGGGCAATCACATCTGGTGTGCCACAGAGTTCTGTGTTGGGTCCAGTTCTGTTTTTGTTGTATATTAATGATTTGACTATGATAGAAAATAAAAGTACCGCTGGTATGATGAGATTTCTGTAAAAATACTTTTGAATCTACCAGGCAATGCATTGGAAACTTTACTTAATCTCATTAATGCCTCCTTAGAAACTGGCTCATTCCCTCCTTCTTTTAAGACTTCAATTGTTATTTCCCTACATAAAGGTGGTGATTTGCATAATCTCTCCAATCTGCGGCCCATTTCTCTAATTCCAACCTTAGCGAAAATTATTGAAAAATTAGTGAATAAACGATTGAATGATTTCTTAAATTTGCACGATATCATCAATAATAACCAATTTGGGTTCCAGACGGAGAAAGATACAAGTGATGCAATATTCTCTTTCGTTTATAAACTTTATTCAGAAATAAATGCTGGTGAAGTAGCTGCCGCAATTTTCTGTGACCTTTCGAAGGCTTTTGAATGTGTTAATCATGAATTATTACTCAAAAAACTTCACCAGTATGGTAGCAGAGGGGTGACGTACAATTGGTTTGAATCGTACCTCTCAGGCCGAAGTCAAATGGTAAGAACATCGGAACTCTCAGAAAGCAGGGCAATCACATCTGGTGTGCCACAGAGTTCTGTGTTGGGTCCAGTTCTGTTTTTGTTATATATTAATGATTTGACTATGATGGATGTATCTGGCAGCTTTACTCTATTCGCAGATGATACAACAATATTGTGGACGAAAAAAAACCCAGAAGAGCTATATAAAAAGATATCATCTGATTTAGAAAAGGTGAGAAATTGGAATGATGCTAATTTATTATCCTTGAATATCTCCAAAACAAATATAATAACACTTAAATGTCTGCTAAATGAACTGTCAATAGACAATGATATGTGGGAAAACAAATTGAACACAAAATTTATTGGTGTCTATATTGATAATAGGCTCAAATTCCATGAACACGTCAGGCAACCTAAGAATAAAATCTCCTCCGGATGTTATGCAGTGAGGGTAGTTTCTAACGGTTTACTACGCTTTAATTGAATCCCAAATAAGATATGGAATACCAACCCTTCTCTCATCTGTGTTGATATTACAGAAAAGAGCAGTAAGATGTCTCTGTAGTTTGGAGTTTGACTTTGTCTCTTCTCTTTACGCTACTCGTAATAGCATATACCTAACTCAATTTTAATCAAGGATTCCACTTTTTATAATGGTGGAAAATCATTCAATTACTTACCAGTAGATACAAGGTCTCTAAATATGACCAACGTACAATTCAAGAAAGCAGTTAGAAAGTTGCTAGCTGATAGACCCTATTATAGCTTGCAAGAGTATTTTAATGTATCATTTTGAAAGTGTATTCAATTTTATATTCATTTTTATTGTATTTGTACCTGTTTTATTCAAACCTTTATTAATTGCCAGTTTTTATCTATTCACCATTAGTTATGCTTATATTTATACCTACAAAGCTTTGTCGAAGGGATACAAAATTTTCTGACAATAAAGTATATTTTGATTTGATTTGACTCCAATTCGAAATCACTTCTAAATCCTCATTAAGATATACAACTTCCTGCTGCCTGTGAAGATGTATCTCCGTAGCCGATGCTATGGAATCCAAATGGAATGACCAGACAAGTGTGCTGTTGTTAGCAAAGCAATATTTTGAATTCTTGGTTTATTCCAATAAGTCTTTGATATACAATAAAAGGAGGGTTGGAGGATCCCTGGGGCACACCAGCGTCGATGTTGAAAGTATTCAAGAGATATCCATCGACGGCCACTTACAGGGAACGTTCTTTCAGGAAGCTAAAGAGCTATCAAACCCTCAGGCCACGCACGGTCAAAGGTCTTAGAAATATCAAGCGCAACAGCCACAAGAAAAACCTCTTTCTCATGAGACAGGTTGAAAAGTCTGCAAAATACTGGTGTGAGTTCTTTTATTTGATTCCTAAATCCAGCCTGGGTTCAAAGACCCACTTTTTTCGCTCACATTAAAGATTTATAAAATGAAAACAATTTATTTTCCTTAAAAATAATTGATAAAAGCTCTGATTGTAAACTGGGAAGAATACAGCCTAATTTAATATTTGAAAAGGACCAAGGTTTCTGTATAATGAAATGTCAAACTGTACAATAGGTGTGTTTACTGCACCATTTTCCTAGGAAACACATGAAAAAGCTCTTGATAAATAGATGCCAACCTTTCCTTCATGAAAGTAAGCCCAAATTCTCTATCAAAAAATTACAATTGGTCACATATTCATAAAGAGTTTACACAAATAAAAAGTCCTATTGAAAAGTTTAGTTCTATGAGGTTACAAGATGTTATTGTAACAAACTGTGGAATTGATGGTGAATTTGTACCAACGAGGGGCAGAAAGAAACTGGGGTTTCTGGCATAACCAATGATGAGGGAACTGAATACGGTTCCGATTCCAGCTCCTGATGCTGCGACTCCTACTGTTGCAGCTCCAGCCCCAATGAATTTGGCAGCTGAGTCAATGTCTCTGTTTACTTGCGAGGTCTGCAAACTGCGGATGGCAGGTAGGAGGGATGAAACAAAAATGGATTCTACACAATTGCATACGCAGATGACATAGTTATCTTGCAGACCGGCTAATTTGTAAACACACTGTGCGATAGAGCGCAGGATGGGCTCAAATTGATAGAAACATGGTGTAAGGAACACTCACTGTCGATCAATCCCAAGAAGACTGAGATGGTCCTTTTCACCAGGAAAAGAAGTTTAACGGGCTTAAAACCTCCCGAAATCTTCAAAAGCTAACTAAACTTCTCTGAAGAGGTGAAATACCTTGGTATTATCCTCGACAAGAAGCTAACATGGAACTCTCATCTACAGAGTAGAGCAAAAAGAGCATACGTGGCTTATGAGCAATGTCGGAGGACAGTGGGACGCGCATGGGGTCTTTCACCCTGTGTGGTCACCTGGATCTAGACTGCAATAATAAGATCTATGTTAACGTATGGAGACATTGCATGGGGACCGAAAGTTCTACGAGCAACGGCCATCCAAAAATTATACCAAATACAGCAAATGACTTGTTTAAACATCACAGAAGCCATGAGAACAACACCAACCGCGGTAATGGAATCAATCACGGGTCTGATCCCTCTTGATCTGTACGTTAAGGAGGTTGCGCACAGCTGGTGTATACCTCGAAGTAGGAATGGGTCAATTGAGGCTGGGCCTGTGGCGAGAAGGGCTTACTGTGCAACCTCTGCTGCAGGCAACAAGCGATGCAATTGAACCCAGGTTTGTGTTTAATAAACCTTACAAAATACAGAACATAGAGTCAGATGATACAAATGCAATACTGATTTACACAGACGGCTCAAAAACCAAAGAAGGCTCCGGGTGTGGAGTGTACTCCAGATCACTGAGCCTGAGAATTAGGTGGGGAATGAGAAGAAGCGTGGTCCAAACAGAACTGGCTGGTATCTCAATCATCACAGAAGGTCTAACCAAGAAAGGAATTTCTGGCAAAAACATAACAATCTGCACTGACAGCAGACAAGCACTATTAGCCTTGAACAGACAACGTATAACCTCAGGGCTAGTACTAGAGTGTCATCAAGATTTAGCCAAAGCCAAAGTAGATAGTAACATTATCCTGAGGTGGGTTAAAGGGCACGACAGGAGTAAAGGTAATCGCATTGCCGACTTTTTAGCCAAGGAAGCGGTTACGGAACTAGTCAAGTGTTACACCCATGCTCAATCCTTAAAGAGATGGGACGAAACCAAAGGATGTAATCTTGCCAGGATCACCTTGGGTGACCCTGGGAAGCTGACACCGAAGAAATATTTGGCAATAACCAGGAAAAATCTACGCCTAACAGTAGGAATTCTGACTGGTCACTGTCAACTAAGGAAACACCTCCATAATATGGGGCTAGTGGACACACCTCTATGCAGGATGTGTGAACAGGAAGATGAGAGTGTCAGGCATGTCCTGTGCGAGTGTCCGGAGTTATCGTCAATAAGATAGTATGTGTTCGGCGGGTATTGGCCTACACCTGCCGATATAAAGGAGATGTCTCCCAGTGACCTGTCCACCTTCCTGGAAAGGACAGGATGGATGATGACCTAGGACGACAACTCTTTGAGAGAATGGGTAATATGTGGCCTAAGTACTGTGGGCTTACACTCACCCTCCCTACTCTACAGATACAGATACAGAAGTGCGCTTCTTGTAGCTGGGGCAATCAATCTGGCACAGGCAAACATTTTCTTAGTTTATTTCGTTACCTACTTCACAAGCCAAAGAACAGTGTAGTACAACACGAAAGCGAATTTTGGAACGCACTTTGAGAACTTTGGAAGTACGACGACGGGCACTTCATCAGGGTCAGACGCCTTGTTGATATTGAGCTGTTTCAAAATTCGTCTGACTAGCCGCTGTCGTAATTTCCGGCATTGTGGATTCTAGTGTGGGAATAGTGGGTAGTGCTCTTCCCAAAAAATCGACTGTGGAGTGAAACGCACATTGTTCAGCTAGTAGATTTGCTTTTTCTATGGCTGTTGTTGAAATTGAACGTTCCGCTTATGTTAGTGGTTGAATTGTAGATTTTGTGAACTTCTGATTAGCAGCATTAGCCACCGACCAGAAGGATCTAGACTCGTTGGGATTGGCAAGCAGTTCATCACTAATTATCTGATTGTATAGTTCTTTGGTACGAGTATTCTCTGAGATATCACACAACAATCCAATATTTGTGAAAACCTTATTTACAAATATAAATTTTGTAGCTCAGAAGCTGGCTTAGTGAACGTTTGAGTGACAATCAATGATGAGTGTAAAAACAAATTTCATATGAGGCTGTTTATGGAAAAAAAAACATGAGTGGCCGACTCCAACTATGCCTGGGGATACCCTATAAAACACACTTTTGTCTATTTTTTACGATTGTTTAATATTTGTTGACTAGTTTCGGTCATTACGTCATTACCAAAACTAACCAAATTACATTTAAATCTGAGTATTCATACCTACATTGCCTATACCTATCATAAATAATTTGATACCTACATTGTCTATAACTGATATAACCTGAGTATAAGTTTATGGCACTGTAAATGATATCGGATTGATACAAAGTTCAAATAATGAATTGGGCCATAATATAGAAGATACAGAGAAATGCTTTTCCTCCACAATTTCAAAAATGCCGAGGAAACTCCCATTTTTGTCAACTTCTGAAAAAATATTAAATTTCGGTACTCATCATCGGGACACATTTTCCAATCAAATTTTCACAGAAATATGTCATTAAAATAATTATCACTTTCAATCGAAAACCCCTGAATGCAGTTCTTTCATTAAATCGCAATTTCCTTTGGATTTGAATAGATAACATTGATAAAAAACTCACCAGGTGATATAAAACCCAACGAAAACACTACAGTAGCTACACAAAAAATCACGGAATGCTGCATGTTTGTGATTTATCAGTTTTCAAATCATGTCGATCACATTTATAGACTGAGAATTCTTATCAATATGAGATAAAGCAATTGAAATCTAATCTGGAAATAGTAAATCTTCTAGAACGATTGATCAGTCATTATTTGGAATACGGTGCTGTTTTTCAAAATGTCTTTCAGTTTTTCGCAGAAAACGAAGATACATAATGTTCATGAACGGAAACATTACCTACATATTCAATTTGAAAATTTGAAGACGGAAAAATAATTAGGATTTCTACAGTCACCAGAACAAGATTAGATTAGATTAGATTAGATTGTCGATGAGCTGGCCAATGGCCTGATTCACTGCGACTTCTTCAGGTCTATTGTGATGCCCTTTGGTTGTTAGAGCTCATTGTTCAGCTTGATCCCTTTGATGAGACTCCATAGCCTTGTCACTGACCCCTTCATATAGCTTTCAGCCTCTTGTTTCTCTTCCCTGCATCTTGCGTGTCTCAGCCTTGCTATCGCTTCGCATTCACAGACCACATGCAGTGCGATTTACTTCTCCTCTTGACAGAACCTGCTTTGGTTTTCTTCTGTCAGACCCATATTGCTCATGTTTCCTGAGTCGGCTATGCCCCGTTAGTAGCCCACCACTACCTTACGGTTGTGGTTTAGCAGGTCCTCCGTGAATCTTGGCGATGGTTTCTTTATGAACTCTTTCGTCTACCCCCTTCGTCTACCCAATCTATCGATTCGGCTTACATCCATGAATTCATGGATATCTTTATACATGCTTTCGCTACCCCGCAGGAGGGTTCTAGGCCGATCATAACCTTGGATGCGCTTTCACGGGCTAGAGTGACCCTAGTTTGGGTACTTAGCTCCTTGAGAGCGCTCAGACAGCTTTCTACCAGTCTTGAGAAGACTGACTGTCGGAGAAAATGGAAATGGTTTTATTTGTGACCTTCTGCCTGTTTATTTCCTCTAAACAGTGTTCTATGGCCGCTCCTTCTGCCTGGAACACAGTTGCTTTTTGTCCGAGGCTGAATGCGACTCCCGTCTTTGCTCTGCCTCCGTATATACCGACTCCCACTCCTTCAGGGGTGTTTGAGCCATGTGTATACCAAGTTTCTTCCGTTTTTACCGGTGGGCCGTTTTGTCAGTCCACTCTACTTGGATTGATGATTTTGAAATCTTTTTGAAAGTTGTACTGCGGAGTTGTGTTATCCAGGGGCATTCCTAGTATTGCCTTCTGCCTTCAGTTCATTGTATAGTTTCCAGTATTCTACACCGTGTGACTGGCTGATTGGGGTTTGCCCCTGCATTAGCCTATGTGTCAACAGCCGATCTCCTCTTTGTATGTAGATGTGCAATGGTGAAAGTCTGAGTAGGTTAGGTTAGGTTAGGTCCAAAGTGAGTGGGTCTATTCGACCCTCCACCGCAACCCGCAAAGGTTTATTGTGACTCACACCTATTCTCACTCAGCCAAACAAACCCAACTTCTTAACGAAGCCGATTCGTTTGTATGGTGAGTGGTCTTTCAGGTCAGATGGTAAAAGTACGGCTCATCCAAAACTGTTTAGTCATCTCACTCGTGTCGTATGCCTACTAGGTTGGTAGATAGTTCCAAAGTGAGTGGGTTTACTCGACCCTCCACTGAAACCCGTGAGGGTTTATTGTGGCTCGGACGAATAAGTTCAGCTCCTTGAGAAAGTCTATTACCTTTCAGATCGAATAAGGATGGTGAAATGCTGACAACCTGATTCTTACGAAAAATCTACATCTGATGATATTGACGTAGATAAAATGGTACACCTGTTGGACAACTTGACCATCGTTTGGTCAAAGTTTGAAACCATTCTTGCCTTCAGGCGTAGCCTGAAGCTATGTCAAACACTGTTTGATTATTTATTAATCAGATATATTAAGATAGACGACTGCTCCTTCATTTAGTCTACAATTTTATATTTTTTTCACGGAAATATGCTGGTGATATCTTCGCCTATCTTCCCAATGCTGAATGAATCACTTTTATTACCAGCGAAAACCTTCTTACAGATACCTATATAAACCTCAGTTATGAGTTAGATATATCACTCTATGAATCAAAAAACGTAGCCACAAAAATAACCTTGTTGAGATATTGATTGAATCAAATGTGAATGAAAGTCACACGCCGTGGCTTGTGAGATTTGTGTTATTGTATAGTAATTTATTTCTTTGGCTAAATTTATCTTCACAACATTAGCTTCCGCTTTAGTTTAGTAACCTCATCTTTCGTCGGATAATTTACAAAAATAAATGTGAGCCCGGATTTCATTGTGCATTTCTTGGATTTCGTCGAACTCAACATGTCAAAATGGAAGTTACAATATTTGATTCAAAAATTCATATTCACTTTCACCCATTACATATATTACTTGGGTAAAATTTCCCTCAAATCGTGTAAATTACCTAACGATATAAACCTACAAGATTTGTTGTTCTACAAACCACATTTCAAAATAGTCACAACCTAAGGAATCGAAAACATCTCTGATTCTTTTGTTTGAAGGACATTTTTTGTGGAGGACTCTATACTTCTTACTGTTTTTTTAGTATATAATCTATCGACTTAACCTCAAGGCCGTTTTAACTTGGTCTTGATTGGCGAAAGTTCCACCGGTGAGAAATTTTGAAGTGCTTGAAAAGATGGCAACTACTGAATTCGTGGGCATTCAAGCCCTCGATACGTTTTCGATAATTGATTATACTCTCAACATGCTCTTCCTTTCCTAAGAGGGGTATGGCTGCTACTATTGCTTCGTGATAAGTTATGAGTGTGTCCAGAACAATTGATAAACATTTCTTTCCAAAATCGTTTTTTTGGTCTTGATGAAAATATAATCCATACAGCTTTTGCAGACACACCCTGTATAAGCGTGTAGCTATTTATTAGCGTCCTGAAACCAAATTCACTCATATTGTCAAGATATGAATTTACCCCATCATTATCTACCATAATATCTGTGTTCATGTCATCAACGATTGAATGTTTGTCAACTTGAAAAGTTCTAGTTCTATGCAGGTAAATTTTTAAATCTTGAATAAATTGATCGGAATCAATTGACGGTGGCCAAGAGTTTTATAGTTTTACAAAAGTAACTAAAATGCCAAACAACTATGCGAAAGGGTTTTGATATTGCGAATGAATTGAAGAATTTTCGAAAATGAAACACTGGAAATATATGATACGATAGCAAATATCTCATTTGATTGCAGAATAACACGTTTTTGCTTGTCTGCATTATTATTTCCACCTGCACAAATAATGGAGGTGGAAAAATAGAAGACGCGGTATACAAGAAACAATACCATCCAGAATTCTAACTCTATTCACGACAGAGAAATATTTATGACAACCAAACTTCACGAAACATTTGCAGCAGGATTTCCGATAGAAGTTTCATCCAATAGTCAGCTTCAACATGCGTATGCGACATAATTTCAGCCCATTTGAAAAGCTTTCATACGTGAAGAATCCATACATCACCAGAACAAGACTAAAGAGAAACGAGGAAATAAGTGTGTGGGTGTGTTGATACAGTTTGAAACCCAAAGCGAGTGCTGTCAAAGCTTTGTTTTCATGCTACAACTTTGTTTAGGTTACAGACACAGGAGGATTCTGAAAAATCATCTGTCGAAATGTATGAAATATATGACAACTACGACCTCGATAGCTTGTTTTTCAGTTTGTATTTAATTCAAAATAAACGACTTTAGGCCAGACCCCAACCACGGACAATTTCTGTTTGCCATTTTCACACGAAAACATTTATCAACATTTATGGTTTGGATCTGCACGTAAAGCCGAGCGCAAACGACTCGTGTACTTACCGAATAAT